AACAATTTGTTTATCCATTTATATGTTGATGGACATTTTAGTTATTTCTATCTTTGGACTGTTTTGATTAATGCTGCTGTGAACATTGGTACATAAGGATCTGTTTGAGTTTTTGCCTTTGATTCTTTTGAGTATATAACTTGGAGCAGAATTGCTAGGTTGTGATTATCTTTTTTAAAACTGTTTTTTGTTTGTTTGTTTGAGACAGAGTCTGCTCTGTCGCCCAGACTGGAGTGCAGTGGCGCAATCTCGGCTCAATGCAACTTCCACCTCTGGGGTTTAAGCGATTCTCCCTGTCTCAGCGTGCCAAGTAGCCGGGATTACAAGCGCCCGCCACCACACCCAGCTAATTTTTGTATTTTTAGTAGGGACAGGCTTTTGCCATGTTAGCCAGACTGGTCTGGAACTCCTGACCTCGGGTAATCCACATGCATCAGCCTTCCAAAGTGCTGGGATTACAGGCGTGAGCCACTGCGCCCAGCCTGTTTGGCGTGTTTGTTGTTGTTGGAGATGGAGTCTCGCTCTGTTGCCCAGGATGGAGTGCAGTGGTGGAATCTCAGCTCACTGCAACCTCTGCCACCTGGGTTCAAGTTATTCTCCTGCCTCAGCCTCCCGAGTAGCTGGGATTATAGGCCTGCGTCAACACACCCAGCTCATTTTTGTATTTTTAGTAGAGACGGGGATTCACCATATTGGCCAGGCTGGTCTCAAACCCCTGACCCTAAGTGATCCGCCTGCTTCAGCCTCCCAAAGTGCTAGGATTACAGGCATGAGCCACCGTGCCTGGCCTAAAACTGTTTTTAAAAGATTAACAATAAGAACTGTATTTTATGTTTACCTACATTTTTATCATTTCCCTATCTAGATTTAAATTTTCATATAGTATCTTATTTTTTATCCATGAAGAACTTCCTGTAGTATTTTATAATGTAAATCTGCTAGAAGTGAATGTTCCTCTGGAAAAGTTTTTATCTCACCTTCAATTACAAAGATTATTTTTCTGGGCTTATAGAATTATGGGTTGGAGGGTTTTTTTTTTTTCTTTCAGTACTTTAAAGATATTATGCCATTATCTTCTAGTTTGCATAGTTTCTAATAAGTCTGTTTCATTTCTGTTCTTGTTCTTGTGTATATAATGTTTCTTCAATGCCTTCACATTTTTCTTTTTATTTTCAGTTTTCAGCAGTTTGACTATGATATGCCTACATTTTTTTCATCATAGGTATCCTTCTTGAAGTTGTCTTGGATCTATTGTTTGTTGGCTTTGATTAACTTTGGATAATTCTTGGTCATTATCTTTTTCAAATATTTTTTCAGCCTCATTCTCTCTCGTTCTGATACTCCAATTACATGACCGTTATACTGCTTGATATTTTCTCCCTTGGGTAATTAAATATGCTCATTTTTCTCCTGTTTATATATCACTTTGGATAATTTTAGTTGCTCTGTCTTCATAATTGATGATTATTTTCTTTGTTGTACCCTGTCTGCTAGTTGAAGGAAATCTTCATCTCTGATAATGTTTTTCATTTCTAACTTTACATTTTCCTTTTTTTATATTGCTCATCTCTCCACCAGCATTCTTCATCCACTCTTATATGTTGTCCGCCTTTTCCACTAAATACCGTACTATTTAACATCTTTTTGTTTTTTTAAAGAGACGGGGTTTTACTCTGTCACCCAGGCTGGAGTGCGGTGGCGCAATCATAGCGTACTGCAGCCTTGAACTCCTGGGCTCAGGCAGTCCTCCCACCTCCATCTCCAGCTTACCTGGGTTTGTAGGTGTGCGACTACACTTGGCTAGTTATTGTTATCATTTTTTTTTGGGGTAGAGAAGGGGTCCTGTTAAGTTGCCCAGGCTGCCCTCAAACTCCTGGCCTTAAGCGATCCTTCCACATTGGCCTTCCGAAGTGCTGGGAATATAGATGTGTGCCACCACACCCCACCCATTTAACATCTTAATCTTAGCTATTTTTAAGTCTCTGTTTCATAACTCGAAAATCTGGACATTTTGGGTCTGGTTTCATGGACTGCTTTATCTTTCAATGATGGCTCATTTTTTGCTTGTGTTTTTGTGCGTCTCATTTTTTAATTGAATTTTGGGCATTGTATGTAAAAGAATGGTATTCACTGAGGTCAGTGGTGTATGTGTTCTGAAATGGGGCTGGCTTCTTCTGTCAGGCCACTAGTATTGGGGGTTGAGTCAATCAAGTCAAGAGTTGGGCTGACTTTGGTTTTTGATGCTTTTAGTGTGCCCCTTAACTTCAAATTCCTTAAGTGGCAGAATGCCATTACCTTGAGCTTTGTGTGGGGCCTGGTGTACCAGAGAGTTTTTTATGGTTTTCCTGTCTACTCTCTGCTTTCAGCAGAGCCTGTGCTCCTGAGTCACAGAGGGTACCTCCCCCTGTTCCCTTGCTTTTTCTCCAGTGGTACACTGCTATTTCTTGTTTGTAACTCAGTGTAAGGCTCTTGGTTGGAACAGAATAATTTCTTGGTTTTCTGGTTCCAGTCTCAGTATTAAGCAGGCCATATACACCAAAGTCTCAGGGTAAGACTTTCTCAGTATTCCCGCCCTACCCCCGATACCAGATGAACTTCTACCTTGTATCAGTCCCAGGTTCTTGGTATGAGTAGGTTTCCTTTCCCATTTCCTGTAGCAGGTCCCATCCCCTGTAGCAGGTCACTTTTGTTTCTACCTCTCCTCTAACAGTAGTGATGTTTCCCTGAGACTATGCCAGGGAAGGTTTCCTGCCTTCCTCCTAGATGCAAATGGCATTTGCTTAATATGAGAAAGGGGTCCATGATTCTGGCATGTTTTTTGTGCCTGTCTCTTCACAGCAGTCAGTCACCACTATATGCTTGTGCCAGTGAGAAAGGTTCTTTTAGGTCTGCTGCCTGTATGCTTTGACATGAACACTCAGTAGAAGCCTCTAGAGAAGAGCTGGTGAATGGTTATGGTCTCTTGTCTCTCAGGCTTGTAGAGATTCTAAACTGTCATATTAGCTCACACCCAGTCTTTAAGAATTGGTTAAAAATCTAGTTGTTTTCTTCTTACCCACTTTCATGGTAACCATCTCTTCTTCTATGCTTGGTCAGTTATGAAACAGTTCACCTGTCCTGTCTCTCCTCAGAAACATTTGTTACCCTTTGAAATTCAGTTGACTTGGTTGCTTTGCAACCTCAGCTCTCTGATGGACTAAAAAAATACATATTATTTTTATATTATCCATTTTTTTCCTGTTTGTAATGGGAGGTGATGGTCTCTTGTGGCTTTTAAAATGGTAAATAGAACTCTGGAGTTCATTGTCTAACTAGATCATGTTATTCCCTGTCTTTAAAAGTCCTGTAGTTATCCTTTTACCTTTAGGGTGAGGCCTAAATCCTTTGGGCTGGCCTGCCAAACCCTTTGTGATCTGACTGCTACCCATCTCATCAGTCTCCGCTTGCACTGCAGATGTGTAGGGGTCTTTATACTTCATATCTGAGTACACCCTAAATGTCGAAGAAAAAAAATGCCCCCTTTGTGTGTTTTGTCAGTGCCTGAGAGTCATCTTCCAACCTCTAATGAGTATTTCCTTCTTCTAAGATGTGTGAGGATTCTGTTTGTTATCTCCCTTCTACATATTTAAGCATCGATTGTGGTTTTATGTAAGCAACATAAGTGTTTATGTAAGTGAGGAAGGAACAATCCAACAAAATAAAATATCATTTACAAATTAGTTCAATTATTGATGCTGTTGATCTTTGCTAGTGATTAAGATTGACAAAGAAAATAGAATTGTTCCTGAATAGGTCTTGAAATCATCATCTTTATTTGCGAAATCATATTGCAAATAGAATTCAGGTGTTGCATATATTACTTAGCATTTCAGAGTCAATGTGTCTAGGTCAGTGTGTCAAATATTGACTCCCTTGTAAAGTGGGTTATCTGCTGCACCCAGCAGCCTCTTCCCTTTACCTGAAGGTGCTGTACAAAGGTACTATTTATAATTTTCAATATGTACCATGGTGTAAAAATCTTGGGAAGCACCAGACTGGAGGATTTCTTACATCTGTCCAAAAAAATGTTATGACTATTCATAAATTGGGAGTAAAGTAGTTGCAGTATGTTAGTAATAATTATAATTAACACCTCTGAAGTGGTTAATATATGCCAGGCACTTTGCTTAATACTTTTCTTGTATCATCTTTTCATGCTCACATCAATTCTCTGAGGTAGGTGCTGTCATCTAAGACACTTATTTAAGGTCATATAGTTAAGTGGCAGAGCTGCGACAAGAAGTCAGGTTAAAGAGTCCAAACTTTTAATGGTTATGATTTATTCCCTACATGATTAAATTATTCATGATTTCTTCTCTCATGTTTTTCCTCTCCTTGAGCTTTGGGTACTTGGTGATAGGAAATTGTTTCTTATTGCTATATTAAATGATTCTCCTGACAGCAGATGAATTCATAGAAAGTGAGCTATAGAAAAAAAAATTAAAATATTATGGGAAAAATCAATGCCTCTCTAATTAACCGAGATATTCTGAACACTGAAGAAGGACCTGGCACCCAACAACACAGTTGTTATCACATGGCAGGTAAAGTATGTTGAAATACGCATGGTACAGAGTGGGAGTGTGGCTTCTCAGTGTTCATGAAGTGCCCAGTTTGTGACATGGAGGTTTTCTTGATTCTTTCATGAAGTGATAATGTCATTGTCTTATCAGACATTTGTGCAAGAAATATCAGAGAGCAAACAGGTGTCAGAATCATTTATTGAAGGTAAAGGTCAGTGCTAAGGTAATCTGAAAGCATCCTAAGTCCTTCTGACGTTAAAGAGGATTCTGAATGTTGAGTAATATTCTTTCATCACCTTTCACATGATGTAGGATGCTGAGATACTCTCAAAGCCCCAGAGCTAGAGGTAACCTATTGCTAATGTTTTGACTTTTATGTGAGTATAATGAATGCTTTGTTTAGAATTTAAAATATTTATATTTCTCTCTCAATTCTAGGTTGGTGATGTAGTAGAAGTACAGGCAGATGAAACCTTTCCCTGTGATCTTATTCTTCTTTCATCTTGCACCACTGATGGAACCTGTTATGTTACTACAGCCAGTCTTGATGGGGAATCCAATTGCAAGGTAACAGATTAAACTTTGCCTAAACATTTTGATGTCAGGATAGTTAATCAAACAATACTGCCTCTTACCACTCCCTGATCTTTTACTGTTTTCTTATTTATGCAGATTTTGTATTAGAAAACAGCTTTTTTTTCTTCTTCTTCTTCTTTTGAGACAGAGAGTTGCTCTGTTGCCCAGGCTGGAGTACGATGGTATGGTCTCGGCTCACTGCAACCTCTGCCTCCCGGGGTCAAGTGATTTTCCCGCCTCAGCCTCCCAAGTAGCTGTGAGTACAGGCGCCCACCACCATGCCCCGCTAATTTTTATAATTTTAGTAGAGACGGGATTTTACCATGTTGGCCAGGTTGGTCTCGAACTCCTGACCTTTTGATTTGCCCGCACCAGCCTCCCAAAGTGCTGGGATTGCAGGCGTGACCACTGTGCCTGGCCAACAGTTGTTATATAATTGTCTTTTAACTTCTAAGCAAACACTCATCTTTGGATAAAAGGGCAGTAGTAGGTAGAAAAACTGAGCTCCAAGTAAAAGTTACCACAATTTTTATACTCTGATTGAATTTAATATTGACACAGCCTATTTAATATTTAGACCCTTTAAAATGGGAGTAATCATAGGCTTAACCTATGTAACTCTACAAATAACTTCATATGTGCTAACCTTACAATTTGATCTTTTTTCCCCCTAAAATGTTGTATATTTCCATTTAAAATGTATATTCTTGGAATATAAGAAACCTAACCTGGAGTAATTTGATTGCTATTTAAAAATAACTTAGGGCCAGGCGCAGTGGCTCATGCCTGTAATCCTAGCACTTTGGAAGGCTGAGGCAGATGGTTCATTTTAGGTCAGCAGTTCAAAACCAGCCTGGGCAACATGGTGAAACCCGTCTCTACTAAAGATACAAAAATTTTAGCCGGGCGTGGTGGTGGGTGCCTGTAATTCTAGCTACTCGGGAGGCTGAGGCACGAGAATTGCCTTAGCTCGGAAGGCGGAGGTTGCAATGAGCCAAGATCGCATCACTGCACTCCAGCCTGGGCTACAGGGCGAGACTCTGTCTCAAAAAATAAAAATAAAAATAAAAATAGGGTGTAGTTTGGCAAATGTTTGCTTTATAAGTAATGAAGCAACATTTTATGTATGTATAAGAAATTATAACTCACTAATAATTACAAGTGACTTAAAGTAAATTTGGTCAAATGGGGGTAACTTAACTTCCCTCATACTTTCTGGCACAGTTGGTTTTCTTGGCCATCGTCCAGAGCTCCACAGGGGATGAAGATGTATCCTCTCTATGCTGCCTTCAGGGAGGGTTACTCGTGTGACTCACCTCTGGGTATATCTTTGGAGGGTTCCTCTGCTTGTTTTTTCTATCTGGAGTTGAGGACTAGGTCTCAGCACTTAAAAGAGAAACTACCTGTTGAATGACTAATTCTCTATTTCACAATCATGGTAATGACCTGCTTTCAACCTGTTCAAAAGCAAAATTGTAATTTAGGGAATGTCAAGATGTAAATCAAGAAATCTACATGAAGATTTCCTGATAGTGAAAAAGTTGTTTAGAGGAAGAACACTTTCAGGTAGTTTCTTTTTTCAGTTAAGTTGATCTGATCAAATCAGCTAAAAGTACAGAGGTTTAAAAAAAATAAAAATAAAGTAAATAAAAGCACAGAGGTTTTTAAAATCAGGAGATGGTTTTAACTATAATCTAGACATTGCCATAATATTCCCCCAAATGGGAACAACAGCTTTCCCTTCTGTGTAAGTGGCACACTCTTTGAGTCCGCTTAGCCCTTGTTTGATGATATGTAAATGGGTTCATTGGAGCCTGCTTTGAGTTCTGGATGAATCTATACACAGATAGAATATTCTAATTGTCTGACTAATGCAAGACACATCATCTCCCTTCCCTTCGTACAAAATGTATCCATGTTGAACATTTTAAAGATCATTAATTAAACTATTTGTGTAATGGAACTATTAATGATTTTTCCTCGCTGTTGGCAAAATTTTAGCGTTTTTATAACTAAAAAGGTTATGCTCAATTCGTATGTGTATATCTTGATTGCCATACACTATAGTGAGCAAAATAAGAAGTCTCAGTTCTGTAAATAGGAAAAAAAAATAAATGTATTAAATATTTCACGGGGTTTCGGTTAATTATATGCATGGTGCAAATAGAATCCTCTCAGCCGTCAGTGTCAAGAAGAGCTTTTAGGTTTTTGTCTTTGAAACCCCCTTGCAGCAGGTTATCTTTCTAATATATTTTGATAATACCATAAAAGTTATATAGTGGTAAATGTTAATATTTGCTTATTCTGCCAAAGCCTCTTACTAAAACATATTAAATTTGTTCTTGGAATCAGTTGGGTGTATGATTATGAAAAGAAACGGTTTCTTTTGTTTTTACTTTTTCTTCTGCTTTCAATTAGACACATTATGCAGTACGTGATACCATTGCACTGTGTACAGCAGAATCCATTGATACCCTCCGAGCAGCAATTGAATGTGAACAGCCTCAACCTGACCTCTACAAGTAAGAATCACCTGGTTTCATTTTACTGCTGTTTGTTGGCTTTGCTTCTCTTTGCTACCAGTATTGCAAAATAAACACCCACCACTTACCAGCCTACTCTCATTTGTGTTTTTATGGGGTATTCCTTCCTTCTGGCAGAGAAATGAATCAAATCAGCCTTGTTCACTATCAGCCCAGGATAAGTCATTGTGGGCCCAGGTATCTTATGATTTTTCTTTTATTTTTGTTACTTGTGAACATGGCCATATATCAAAATTTTAGATTATATTATCCTGTAATATCAAACTGATATTACAGCTGATCTATCAAACTGATGCAGTAACCAGAGTTAAATGCAAAACAAAGCATTTTACATGACATCTAACATTAAAGAGAGAAGGGGAATATCCTCTTCATGCAATTAGTAGGCTCTATCCTTTCTTACAGTGATCATGATGCACTAAGGATTGCAAACAGGCTATTTCTTGTCCACAGTAAACAGTTAAGGAATGAGTAAAATGGTGTAATTTCTTCTATTTTACTATACTTAGGCTCTCTGGAGTAGGTTTGCTGATTATTAGTCATTGTTGATTGTCAAAAATTTGGCATTTGATTTCAAGATTGGTTAGTTTGGTTGATTAGCGCATGGTGCTAATGAGGGTAGTGTAACAGGTTTTATCCCCATGTGGGCTAATTAATTTTATCCTCTTCTACCGTTGCTGATGGCATCCATTACCCATCTTGTTAATGCACACTGTTAGTCATAATGAGCAACCAAGTGGTTGGATGTGGTTTATACTAACACCTAGTAGTGGAAAAACAAAGTATTCATTCTACTTCAAGAACCTCCCTCCTTCCCATCATTTTTTCTTTCCTCTTTCCCTTCCTCTTTCATATTCACCTTGATGATAGGAACTAGGGCCACAAAGTATAACAGCTATTCTCTGCCTTCAAGGGGCTCACTGTGAGCAAAAGAGATAAAGTACTAAAGCTAAGCTTATACAGGGTGATAACAGAGGTGAGTATAAGGTCCATGGCATCACAGAAAAGGGAGTGACCTATTCTGCCCGAGCTAGAGAACAGTATCTATACCCTTGCATATTTATAGGGAAACCCCCACATTTTTCAGTTGCTTTAAGTATAAAGGAGAATGTTAGGACAGGGAAGGTTATTCCTAATTTCCTTAGATGATTGAATTCCTTGCTCTGTGACTTTGGAGTACCTTGTACTTCTATCACTAGTGGTAAGCACTTGCATTGTAATTGCTCATTTACTTGTCTTTCATAGGGCAAGGAGCATTTCTTTTTTGCTTATTAGTGCATCTTCAGCACCTAGTACAGCACTGGCACAATTAATATATGACGAATGAATGAGCAAACCTTCATATTTTGTGTATTTGAGTAGCATAATATATTTCTATTTTCTGGGGAAAATACTGTTTACAATGCAGGTTACAAAACACTGATATTAACAAGGGATTAGGTATTTTTACCTTATTTTGCAGAAATACAGGTTACCATATACCTATTATATTAAGTGATTGGGTGAAGCTCAGTATTAAGATCAACTGCAAGTCACGGCTAGACATTTCCAAGACAGCAGTGAAGCATTCACTGTTTAAGGCTAGTACTATGTATGGTTTAAAGAGCGGTTTTGTAGCAGCATTACTGGGAACCTGAATCAGAGCTCAGGGATGGGACCTAGAAATCTGTGGTTTAATAAGTCCACCAGTGATTCTGATGCACACTAAAGTGTAAGAACTACTGAACTAATGGTTTTGAAAATTGTATTTTAGCACCAGAAACTTTTCTTCACATGATCCAAGATACAAGTCATGATATGTATGTAACCTTATAAAAGAGAGAGGTATTGTGTGCATGCATGATGTTAAACAGACCTTATTCCCATCATATTATTTAAAAATTACGTGAAAATGTTACACACATTATCAATTCAACATAACTTTTTTCCCCCAGAAATATAATAGGCTTTTGTAGTTCACTTACAGTTTTATCTCTCTGTTTTATTATTTGTATTTTCATTCCTTCTCATATTTCTGGTACATAGATTGTGCCTGGATGTAGAAAACAAATTTGCAATTATGTTCTTTTTACAGATTTGTTGGGCGAATCAATATCTATAGTAATAGTCTTGAGGCTGTTGCCAGGTAAGTTTGCTATTCCTTTAATTTGTCCTTTGGGGGAGGGTCTATTTTTCTTTCAAATCAAATAAAATAGCCAAATACCTTTCTATTATAGAAAGGAATATAGGCCAGGTGTGGTGGCACACACCTGTAATCCCAGCATTTTGGGAGGCCGAGGTGGGCAGATCACCTGAGGTCAGGAGTTTGAGACCAGCCTGGCCAACATGGTGAAACCCTGTCTTTACTAAAAATACAAAAATGAGCCAGGCATGGTGGTGGGCACCTGCAGTCTCAGCTACTTGGGAGGCTGAGGCAGGAGAATAGCTTGAACCTGGGAGGCAGAAGTTGCTGTTAACTGAGATTGTGTCATTGCACTCCAGCCTGAGTGACAAGAGTGAGACTCCATCTCAAAAATAAATAAATAAATAAATAAATAAAAAGGAATATAAAGATATAAAGGTGAATAAACAACTAACCTTGTGATTGGTAGGGTTGTGGTCATAGGGTCTCTGTGTGTTGTGGGGAGGGGGTTGTTAGAAGTAATGCTTAGGGTTTCTAAAATAGTAAAGATCCAGGCACACACTTTGGATGATATTCCCAAACCTGTTCTAGCCATGGTATTTATTATCCTTGGTTGTGAAGTGGCTGATAATATTGGAATTAAACCTGGAGAACAGTGGGAGAGTAATTGAGAAAGTAGGCAGTGGGTAAAATGCTGAAAGAACCACTTGGACTTATGTAAAATGAAAGGCTTCATTAAAATGATAATTAGAACTTCGGTAAAATGATAAATTGTATCGGCCTTCATACAATTTATCAAGCAATTCATACAAAAAGGGATGCTTTCTTTCCTCTTCTATCATCATATTAATTACCACAACTTTCCACTTGGCCTTTACAGTCACACTCAAAAAGAAGTTAAAGAAATACAGGGTCCCCAGTGGTCCCACAAAAGGAGGGTTTATTCTCTCCAAATATGTCAGTGTATTTTTCCCACCTTGACATTTGCGTTCCCAGTCTTTCATCCGTGACTCTCTGCTTCTGTGTCTCACGATCTGCTGCTCTGTCCTGTTCTTGTCTTGCTATCTATGATTCATAATCCTTTTATCCCCCCATGCATTTCTTTACCTCTGTGTGTTGCTGGCTATTCCCGTACTGTGCTTCCATCTGTGCTGTACCCTCAAGTAACTTCAGAGTGAAGGAACTTTCAGCTTGTCCTGGGGAGTAAACATATGGTATACGTGGACAGATACATTCTGAACCCCTTGGAGATAGGTGTGTGTCAGGGCAAAATCTGTCTCCAGAGTTGTTGATGCTATTAGCTTGTTTGGATAAGCTGTGTTCATTTTTTATTTAGGTCTTTGGGACCTGAAAATCTCTTGCTGAAAGGAGCTACACTAAAAAATACCGAGAAGATATATGGTGAACAATTTTTAAGATATATTTATCAAAAATATGCTTTGTAATGGCTGTGAATTAATAGTGCATATTAAGAAGTAAACATAGCAGGTTTTGCCATTTAATCTAAACCTATATTTAGATGTTGGGAATTAATAAGGTGGTAAACTAAGATGAAATATGACAAATACTATATATAATTAAAATTATACTATAAATGATAGACAACTGGTGATGGAAGAGGGCCTAGATTTCCCACTTTTATAGACTTAAAAATTCATGGAGCCAGCTGGATGAGGAGTTGGTTGACATTTTCTTAGTTTTCATTATATTCTGTTATTTCTTAGGAGTTGCTGTTTACACTGGAATGGAAACCAAAATGGCTTTAAACTACCAAGGGAAATCTCAGAAGCGTTCTGCTGTTGAAAAGTTAGTATGCTCCGCAATTTATTTAGTCATTATTGATTAGAAGAGTTACTTTCTTAGTAATTCTAACTAACAAGCCTAACAAAAATGTCAATTATAATAGCAACTACTATTTTAAGCACTTGTTTATATACCGGAAACTGTGCTCAATGATTTGTATGTCTGATTTGGTTTAGTCTTCTGAAGAACACTATGAAGTAATTCATGTTAACATCTCCACTTTACAGATGAGGAAATGGTGTTGGAGATGGTATGTGACTTACCTAAGCTCACATAGCTCTTGAAGGGCAGAATTTACTTCAACTATAAATTCATTCTTTTTTTTTTTTTTTTCATTCATTTTATTGCATTTTAGGTTTTGGGGTACATGTGAAGAACATGCAAGATTGTTGCATAGGCACATACATGGCAGTGTGATTTGCTGCCTTCCGCCCCATCACCTACATCTGGCATCTCTCCCCTTGCTATCTCTCCCCAACTAAATTCATTCTCTTTTGCTACTGGAGTTAATGGTTTGGAGTTCTTTAGTTGCTATATGCAAGTTAGTTCTATAATATTGATAATAGTCTCCTGGCACCTATTGAAGCAGTACCTGGTAGATCCTCAAGCCAGGTACCACTGGCATAGACCTCACCCTACATTTGGCATGGATAACCAGTATATCACTGGCACCCTTTCCGTAGCTCCACTTTCAAACTGAAAGGACCTACACTAAGCTTGAGGATTTCACATTGCTACCGTGCCCTCTACCCCAAACATTTAGGATTCAGGGAAATGGAGACAAGATACTCCTTCTATAAGGGTTGAGTAAGTAATGGTGTGTGTATGTGTGCATGTGTGTACGTCTCCTGTCACTTTACAGGAACCTTACTAAGGTGTGTTCAGCTAATCAGCCATTGCACTTGGGGGAGCATTGTTGGTCAATAAACAGTTCATGGCCAGCTTTTCCATTTTGCCACTTGAAAATAATGCTGCAGTTATGATAACTGAGGTTCATACACAATGGCTTGTGCTGTAGTTATACATCATGCACAGAAAAAGCTTTAGATGACTCAGTAGTTTAATTCATATCTGGCTGATGTCTTAAGTATTAATAATTAGGTGGTTTTAAAACCCATGCTGTCTTATTTTTCAGATCTATTAATGCCTTCCTGATTGTGTATTTATTCATCTTACTGACCAAAGCTGCAGTATGTACTACTCTAAAGTATGTCTGGCAAAGTACCCCATACAATGATGAACCTTGGTATAACCAAAAGACTCAGAAAGAGCGAGAGACGTTGAAGGTAATTTGTTTTCTGCTGAAAATTGAAACTCTAGAACTTTGTGACTCAGCCAACCTTCATTGAAATGCTATTCAGGGAAATGGCACCTTTTGTTAGCTTCTGAATTTTCTCTTGATTGTATGGTGACTGTAAGCCAATAAATATTTAAGAAGATTTAGAGTTTTGTTTTTTTTTTCTTTTACTTTAGGCATCTATGCTTGTTTTTAGCCCTTTATATAAGAATTTTAGACAAAACCATTTGGCAAGACACTTTGGCATTTTAATATAATATGATCTTGTGAGATGTCACAATAAAGGCATAATGAATGCTTACATATGAACTTTGATCTCACTTTCATATCTTAGGGTGGAGTGAGCAAAGAGAACTTAAAGAAATGAAAAAGTACTGACAAGTTGCATATACTTAAGAATAATGATAAAATTGTTCTTAAATGTTGTTCTCAGATACTGTGATAATTTTGACTACAGTGATGTAGTGTTACTGGGAAGTTCCGTCTTTATAGCAAGAGCAGTGTTTTAAGCATTGTAATAAAGATGAAGTTAATTCTTCCTTTATATTATATTAGTCAGGTGGAATTGTGTGTCTAATTAGCATGAACTCTCTCTTTTATTTTAGGTTTTAAAAATGTTCATCTTTTTCTTTAGGTTTTAAAAATGTTCACCGACTTCCTATCATTTATGGTTCTATTCAACTTCATCATTCCTGTCTCCATGTACGTCACAGTAGAAATGCAGAAATTCTTGGGCTCCTTCTTCATCTCATGGGATAAGGACTTTTATGATGAAGAAATTAATGAAGGAGCCCTGGTTAACACATCAGACCTTAATGAAGAACTTGGTCAGGTTAGAGTATTTTTTTACTTAAAATAATTTGTCAACATAGTGAAAATATCTTTTTATGTAGTCTGGATCACCAATATATGTGACCACATCACATTTGGAAAAGTAATTCAGAGAAAATTATTTTATGCAGGCATGTAATGAAGGTAAGCAGTGTTTTCATAGTTACAGCGTCAGTTGTTTTGCTGGCCTTTTTGAGAAGGATACAATTTATGTATTAAATGTGAATGTTACTGAAATTCTCCTTGGACCTGGGTGATATTACATTATTAGCTATTGCTTTGGAACAGGAAACAGGCAGTCTTCATCACCATCTATAACCATTCGTGGATAGAATATGGGGTAGCAAATATAGTTATTTTATAAATGCATTTTGTTCCATAAGCAAAATTGACCAGAATTGTCCTATTGACATTTTCTTGGTACATTTCTGATCAGATAGAATATAGACCTAGCAAGCAGAATTATTTATTCCAGTACAAGAATTTCAATGAAGGGAAAACGTGAGGGCATGCACTCCTCAAAATGCATTCTGCTTTATGTAACAATGTAACTCAGACTGTGACCCCATTCTAACCCAGGTGCATTTATTTTCCAATGCAACATCACTGTAATTCTTCAAGTGATGATTTCTTAAGTGCTTTTCTTATTAGTGTTGAGAAAGTTTTCCCCTTTTTCTGATTTTACCCTGAGTCATGTAATGATCTTCTCGAGCTGAAGGAATTTTTTGCCTTGCATTTTATTCTCATGACATTTACAATGTCAGGACTGTGGAAATGTCGTTTTTGTGACTGGGAGTTGCAAATTCAGTTAATGAAACTGTGTGGCTGGAACAGAGCCTCACCCTCACACTTGCTGTAAATGGGGCTGATTTGCATTCTCACCTCAAAACTTACTTCCTGAGTTTAGCTCTCTCTGCAGTCCCTGCACTCTATTTCTACTCTTGATATAGCCTTTACCTAAATCAAAGTACCCACATGGCGACTGCAGTTGAAAGGTAGCAAAGACTCTCCAGATACCATTTTGTTTAGACTTGACTTCAGGACACCAGTGTCTGAAACCATGGAGTCTGCATCTGATGCAGATACTGAGGCACTAAGAATAGGAAAAAAGTTGAATGGACAAATGGCTTTTCCTTTGGATATTGTTCCCAGAAGGTTATTTTGTTGGTGATGTGGGCTGTCATACCCGACCATTGTCTTTTAAGCCAGAAGTTTTTATGCAGGCTTAGAGCTATTTGAGTAGAACTGCTCTGATCTCAATAAAAGGCATCAATTTGCAGAGTTTTTTGCATGAGAAAAAAGTTCGAATATATAAGCCACCTTTAGTGAACCTTTCCCTGACAGCTAATTTAGTGGTTCACTCTAGATGCTGAGCAAATCTGCCTGTTCTAGATTAAGTGCCTGGCTGTATGTGTTAACCTACCCAAGGGTGAGCATGGCTAGCTTGGGGCTAGCCTCAACTACTATTACAAATAGTCATCATTCCGAATATGACACTTAATGTTCACTAAAAACAAATAATATGCCCAGGTCAGGTTCCAGTTGATGAGACTCTTATCTCTTTCAGATTTCCATCTCAGCAGATTCCATATTACCTATGGGAATGCAGTCTTCTTCTTATCTAGACTATGTTAACACTGCAGAAAGTAAAGTAGAGCTTTGGGTAATGATCTAGTAAATTTGATGAGTGAAAAGAAGCTACAGTCTTTCTTTTAGTCACTACTCCTTTCTCCCACCAAACCTTGCATTTCTAATTGTGATTGTCATTTAGTCAAATCATTAATAGTCAGACCATCACTTCAATTAATACAGTATATAAACAACTTGCTGTTGTTATTAGCTTACATGTGTAGAAATTACCTAAATGAAAATGCAAAGAAGTCTTGAAATAGTTTCTTAGGCCATTTAGTATTCAATAAACAAGTACACATTGTTTTTTTCTGTTAAGTGTAACCTGTTTTCTCTTTGTTGAGTCAAATTTAAGATCTATGTACCTTTTTATGTTACTAAAGACAGTATCATTTAATTCTTGTCCATACCATTGCAAGCATTTGCTTAACCTCTTTTAATATGACCCACACTGGGATTAAAAAATAGAAAGATATGTTTAGGACAGTGTTTGACGTGAGAAACAAAAGGAAGTAGACTGCTCAGCTCATTTGGAAAATATTGGGGTCTTTTATGATCAGACATAATCTTTTAGACAAACAAATAATTGTAATCTATATAGGAAAAAATGTGGGGCTACTCTTCTTCATATTGCCTTTCCATCTTGCAGCTCTGCCTAATGGTGGAACTTTATAGTGTAAGTATATAATTCAAGCCAGTAGCTGTTATTCACCTTTTATTGTCTGGGATGTGTGTGTATTCTAGGTACTATTATGAAGTAAACAAGAAATCCTCAAATTTTTAAAGCTATCATTGGGGAGACATACACATCAGACCTAAATACAGCAATGTGATCATAATCAATCAGAAAAATTGTGGGGGAATGCAAAGTGTCTGGTGCTCTTTGATTTTGGTCAGGTCAACAGTGGTGACCGTCACCATGTATATGGTACCTAAAAGGTTATAGATTATTATTATTGAGCTTTCTTTTTAGTCTTTACATTCTTGTGCGGCAGGTATTGTTAAGGTTAATATTTGAAGTTCATAGAAGTAAAGAGATTTTCTTAAGGTCACAAAGTTAGTAGGTGGTGGAGCCAAGATGGAGTCCAAGTGTTCCATTAAGTCGAACCATGTGGTAAGTTTTGATATACAAAATAGGTGATTTCACATGTTCAACATACACTTCAGAGCTTTTTCTACCCTACAGCAGTTGTCTCACTAAGAAATAGGAAAAGTCTTTTTTCTTTTTTTAGAAATCATATAGTTTATTCAATGAAATACTAATTAATCAACAAAAGTTATGTAAATCTATATTCTTGACATGGAAATACATATATATATGTGTGTGTGTGTGTGAGAAAAATAGATTACATAGCAAATATAATGAGGTTATATTATTGTTCAAGTGGTAAATATACATATATGGTGTCTAGAGGGATAAAAGTCAGAATGTTAACTATGATTGTTTCTGTATGATGGGACTAATATGTGTTTCAGGGAAAACTCCCAAAATGTGTTTTTACTGTGCTCTCACACCAAACAACACAGAAGACTTCTGTGTCCAAATGTGAGAGGGAGCAGTTTTTCTCACCAACAAACAGTAGACACCAACCGGATGTCCTCTAGTTCAATTCCGTCTACCTGGAGATAACATTGGATCCCACAGGAAATCCCTAAGACTGCCCATGCCTCCCAGACACCAGTCGCAAGTCTGGGCCTCCATAACTTTTCTGACTGACCAGCTTCAAGATGGGCCACTCACAACCCCCTCTTTGGGTTTGATTAGCTTGCTAGAGCAGCAGACAAAAGTCAGGAAAACACTTATGTTCACCAGTTTCATATAAAGGGTGTTGCAAAGGATACAGATAAAGAGATGTGTAGGATGAGGCATAAGTGAAGGGGTGTTGAGCTTCCATACCTTCCCTGGGTGTGCCACCCTACAAGAACCCTGACATGTTAGTTATCCATAAGCCCCTGTTTTTCTTTTACTGTTCTCACATAGCCACTCAATACAACACTCTTGACACCAGCTATGTGAAGTTTTCTCCTGACACATCAAGCAAGCAGTTCTCCAGCAAACACCAGCTAGGTATCTTCCAATTCACTTTTGATACTGCCTACCTGGAGTTAGTGTATTGTGTCAGATCTCACAGGTTGAGCGCTCAGTCCCAGAAGACTGCTCCCCACTTCAGATGCCGCTTGCTAGTTCAGGTTGTAACTTATACTTCTGATTGACCAGCTATAAAATGGGGTCCAGTAGGTTACTAGACCCCCTCCTTGGATTTGATTAGTTTACTAGAGCAGGTCATAGAACTAAGGGAAACAGTCATGTTTACTGGGGGAAGGGGCCTTTCCAGGCATCCCACCCTTCAAGAAATTCCTTGTGTTCAGCTATTCAGAAGCTCTTTGAACCCAGTTTTTTGGGGAGTTTTATGGAAGCTTTATTATGTGGACATGATTGACTAAATCATTGGCCATTGCTGTTCGGATTAACCTTTGGCCCCTCTTTCGTCCTTCCCCAGGTCAGGTGTGGGGCTGGAAATCTCAACCCTATAATCATGCCTTGGTCTTTCCAGTGACCTGCACTCATCTTGAAGCTATCTAGGGGCCCCCAACCATTTGTCTTTCATTAGCATACAAAAATACTCTTAACACTCTGGAGTTACTAAGGCTTTGGGAGCTTTATGTCAGGAAACAGGAAGGCAGATCAAATATATATTTATCAAATATATATTAAACAATATCATGCAAATGATAGCTTTGAGCCTGCCAATATAGAGGAATCTTTTTGGCAAGCTTGAAGATGAGGCTGTTTTTGAGAGAGTCAAGCAGCAGCCTCCCGCTTCATTTATTTCTCTCCTTTAAATATGAGAATAGTTTTGTTTTTTTTTTTTTTTAAAAGACGGAGTTTCGCTCTTGTTACCCAGGCTGGAGTGCAATGGCGCGATCTCGGCTCACCGCCACCTCCGCCTCCCGGGTTCAGGCAATTCTCCTGCCCCAGCCTCCTGAGTCGCTGGGATTACAGGCATGCGCCACCATGCCCAGCTAATTTTTTGTATTTTTAGTAGAGACGGGGTTTCACCATGTTGACCAGGATGGTCTCAATCTCTTGACCTCGTGATCCACCCGCCTCGGCCTCCCACAGTGCTGGGATTACAGGCTTGAGCCACCGCGCCCGGCCAGTTTGTTTTTTTATTTTTCTCTGAGACGGAGTCTTGCTGTGTCGCCCAGGCTGGAATACAGTGGCGTGATCTCAGCTCACTACAACCTCCACCTGCCAGGTTCAAGTGATTCTCCTGGCTCAGCCTCCACAGTGGCTGGGACTACAGGCGAGTGCCACCACACCCGGCTGATTTTGTTTGTATTTTTAGTAGAGATGAGGTTTCACCATGTTGGCCAGGCTGTTCACGAATTCCGAACCTCAGGTGATCCTCCCACTTCAGCCTCCCAAAGTGCTGGGATTACAGGCGTTAGCCACCACACCTGGCCTAGAATAGTTAATCACAGTTGATTCCCTCCTCTTCTTTTTCTGAGTATAGATCACATATTAGGGTGGTAGTTCTGTCAATATGATCCTGGGACCAGCAGCATCAACACTACCTGATAAGTTAGAAGTATAAATTATCTTGTCCCACTTTAGACTGACTGATTCAGAAATTCTGGCAATAGAGCAGCAATCTGAGTTTTAACAAGACCTCCAAGTGCATGTGATACATTCTACAGTTTGATAATTACTGCACTTAGGTATAATTTGTAGGCATGTAACTATGAGATTCAGTGTTTGCAGATTCATACTGCCCAAACTGTTTCACATAGGCGAATAAATTGTACTTTATATTTTAAAGCTGCCATCTTTGACACTAACAAAAGAGATTCTAATGCTCATCCAAGTTCAGGAGGCGAAATAACCCAGGACACCCTTCAGGAGAAAATGAAGGTTAATAATTTTGATCAGAAAAAAGCCCCAAAGAATTTCATTTAAACTGGAAGAATCTAAATGATATACAAGTAATACCACTTGGATTAATTTAAAGAGAGAGTTCAAACTTGGCTAGCTTAACAGGAAAAAAAAAAAGATTGGAATGTCATATTTGTGCCAGTGCTGCTACCGTGAAAAGCTTTGAAAAATAATTAGAAAGCAACTACTGCTGTAGTTCATTTCTTTCTCCCTTACGTAATAAAAACCTTAATCTTGTGGTTATGCTTGTTCCTGTCAGCCCATAATTTTAACTATTTAATCATAAATTGCCAAAACGAGGATAAAATTGTAGGTTTCCAAAAGCCAGATGTTAAAAATAGAAGAGATAAAAACTGAGATAAAATAGAAATTCTCAAAATGATTTATCTTATGGCAAATTTATGTCTTAGCTTATGTTTCCATTATTTATGAAAATATACTTGTGTTATACTTTAACCTATCATTAAGACTTCTGGTTTTTTCTAAATTTGGAAATGAGTATTTTCAAAATATGTATAGTATATAGAAAGAAATTTCAGTTATGGTTTTGATCACTGTTGACCTACTGTATCTTCTAATTAGGTAACTGTTAACATTATTATTGATTCTTACATATATGATGCGGTACATTTTATTTCAATTCGGCATTTTTATAGAAAATTTTACTTTAAAAAGGGGAAAAAAATCTCAGTTTCTGTTTTATTTTGTTACATCCCATTTAAATTATTAGTAAATATTTTTAATGGATAATATACATACTAGCCCACAAAGAGAGAGAGAGAGAGAGAGAGGGAGAGGGAGAGAAATAAGTAGTATAATTTCCCACTTGAAAAATTGATTTATGTAACTTCTTTACATCAAACAGGTTAACTGGCTGGGCATGGTGGCTCATGTCTATAGTCCCAACACTTTGGGAGGCCAAGGCTTGAGCCCAGGAGTAATAGACCAGCCTGGGCAACATAGTGAGATGCTGTCTTTACAAAAATTACAAAAAATAAGCCTGATGTGGTGGTGCATGCCTGTGGTCCCAGCTACTCAGGAGGCTGAGGCAGGAGGATTGCTTGAGCCAGAAGTTCAAGGTTACAGTGAGCTATAACGTCTGCTGCATTCTGGCCTGGGTGACAGAGTGAGACCCTGTCTTTTAAAAAAAAAAAAAAAAAAGTTAACTTACATTAGAAGGGTTATAAGTTTGATAAAATAGTCACTTTTTATTTGTTTTTCCTTTTTGTGGGACAGAGTCTCAGTCTATCATCGCCCAGGTTGGAGTGTAGTGGTGCAATCTTAGCTCACTGCAACCTTTGTCTCCTGGGTTCAAGCGATTCTCATGCATCAGCCTCTCAAGTAGCTGGGATTACAGGTGTGCCATCACACCCAGCTAATTTTTGTATTTTTAGTAGAGATGGGGTTTTACCATGTTGGCCAGGCTGGTCTGAACTCCTGAGTAAAAGTAATCTTCCTGCCTCGCCTCCCAAAGTGCTGGGATTTTAGGCGTGAGCCACCATGCCCAGCCAACAGTCACATTTTTTTCTATTCATCTTTTACATTTGAGTAAGTCTACCTTAGACTTGTGATACCATTTTAGTGTCTTTAAAAATACTCATTTTTTCCTCATTTGTTTGGTAATATTGTTTCTGTAATTCCCTGACATTTGACAAGAAGTCTTGGTGATTTCCTATGGATATGAAGATAGCTTTGCGTTACAGCAAACTAGTCACACTGAAGAAACCAACAATGTATATGTTTGTGTGCTTGTTTTAGGTGGATTATGTATTTACAGATAAGACTGGAACACTTACTGAAAACAGCATGGAGTTCATTGAATGTTGCATAGATGGACACAAATATAAAGGTGTAACTCAAGAGGCTGATGGATTATCTCAAACTGATGGACCTTTAACATATTTTGACAAAGCAGATAAGGTGCATTTGCATTATTATTTTATATAAGAAATCAAACTATGTATGCATGTTAACATTCCATAGTAGAAAATTTTTTCGTAGGCACATGACATAGACTTTTGTGGGTATTTTGGTTTGTTTGGTTTTTTTGAGACAGAGTCTCGCTCTGTTGCCCAGGCTAGAGTGCAGTGGCTTGATCTCGGCTCACCACAACCTCTGCCTCCTGGGTTCAAGCAGTTCTCCTGCCTTAGCCTCCCAAGTAGCTGAGATTACAGGCGCCTACCACCATGCCCAGCTAATTTTTTTGTATTTTTAGTAGAGACGGGGTTTCACTATGTTGGTCAGGCTGGTGTCGAACTCCTGACCTCAGGTAATCGACCCACCTCAGCCTTGTGAAGTGCTGGGATTACAGGTGTGAGGTGCTGCACCCAGCGAATTTAGAATAACTATTGTTGGCTTCACCTTTCTTGTTTTACTGACATTTCTGAAATTTGTAAACGAGTAGAATTTATAGGTAAAGAGAATTGTGGGAAATGACATTTGGGTAAAAGCTTGCCTGTCCATATGATCATAATTTTTTGTTCTTTGTCTTTTAAAGCTCTTTCAAGAATGATGTCTGTTCAAATGATTAAGGTCTCAGGAGTGTCTAGGGGGTAAATTAACCAGAGTCTCCCTGAACTTGAGCTATTGCTAGATTGTGAATTAGATACTGAATGAAGTCTTTTAGACCATGAAGAAGTCATTGCTTTGGCTTAGGTGATGCTACAATAACCTGAATGAGTTAACACAGCCTATAGAAGGGCATGCTAGCTGAGAACTGGGAACTTTGTTACGTACTAGGAGAATATATAGCTGATTTGAGTGTTAGGAATTTATACATATCTACTACTAAGTTTGCTAGAGGTTATAACATTCTGTCCCATTACTATATTTTCTCTGTTCACTGTCTAGTTACTGAGTGATCAAATTAAAAATAATAATCATGATTTTGTTACTATTCCACAGAATCGAGAAGAGCTGTTTCTACGAGCCTTGTGTTTATGTCATACTGTAGAAATCAAAACAAATGATGCTGTTGATGGAGCTACAGAATCAGCTGAGTTAACCTATATCGCCTCTTCACCAGATGAAATAGCTTTGGTGAAAGGAGCTAAAAAGTAAAGTATACTTTCTTATACCTCTCCGAAGAAAGTGAAATCACAGGAGGACAGAAGTTATTTTGTTTTTTCTGTTTGCTTCAGTCACCTTAGCATGTACATCTCCTACTATTTAATAAAAAAACATAACTGCTTTAGCCAAAAGTTTTTGGAAAATTCCCACCCCTGACTAGTTAGACCAAGAAGAAAATAGTGACATGTAGGTATTACTTGCCTTACTATTTATGCATGCCAGCCAGAAGTCTGAATCTTCATATTATATTTTGCAAATAACGTAACAGTGGCTACTTTTTGTACAACACATGCTGTTTCTGAGGTACTCCCAGCAATTTTGACATCATTTGAGAACTGAAAGTCTAGTTTTACCCATGAGGTTTAAGATAATTAAGTGGCTAAAAGGTCACCCAGTGTGTTAGCTGCAGAATCAGAAACCCAAATGGCCTCTCCCTTGGTTACAGTAATTGTGGCTGGGCATTGACTTTCTCTGTTATCATCTCATCCAGGAAAAGGAAGTACAGTTATATGTTGAGATCATATGAAAGAGAAGAGAAGCATTAACAAGAATGACTAACCCCATTGAAAATTAATCATTCTATGCCAAGCGCAGTGGCTCATGCCTATAATCCCAGCACTTTGGGAGGCCAAAGTGGGTGGACCACCTGAGGTCAGGAGTTTGAGACCAGGTTGGCCAACATGGTGAAACCGTGTCTCTGCTAAAAATATAAAAATCAGCCTGGTGTGGTGGCATGCAGCCATAATCTCAGCTACTCAAGAGACTGAGGCAGGAGAATCACTTGAACCTGGGAGGCGGAGGTTGCAGTGACCCATGATCTTGTCATTGTACTCCAACCTGGGTGACAAAGCGAGACTCTGTCGCAAAAAAAAAAAAAAAAAAAAAAAAAAAAAAAATCATTCTTTAGAGATACACAAGGTATTTTTTATTGTTTTTGATAGGTACGGGTTCACATTTTTAGGAAATCGAAATGGACATATGAGAGTAGAGAACCAAAGAAAAGAAATAGAAGAGTAAGTAGCTCTGTGTTTGATGTTTGTCATTTCTTAACCCCACAGTGAAATTTAGATGGATTCAGGCACGGCAGAAAAGGAAGTGATGCCACTGAAAATACAGGACTCTGCTCTCCCAGTTCAGAGTTTTATGTAAATATAGTTAGGGTAGAAGCCATTTTACATAGAATGGCAGAAACTTGGATTTGAGGTAGAAATTTCAATCTGGTCCACATCTGGGTCCAGTAGCCAGAAAGAGAGTCTGCCTGGACTGTTTCTGAAATTAGATGCCATTTCAGGTTTCTAACATATGCTACAAGAAAAATCAGTGAAAATATGTGAAACATTCTGCTGTCTAGTATCTAAGCAATCACTCTGGGATTGCAAGCCCAGCCAATAAAGGCAACTTTGCTGTAAACCAGAAGTTTTGTCTTGTTGGGGATGTTCAGGTGTGAGTCTCAGGGCAAGTACTCTGATGTCCCAGTGCCTTCACATTTCCTCTTTTGCCACAAAGACCGCGGTGAGCAAACCCACCTTATCTTAATGGTGGATTTTAATTAGGCTTTGTGATTAATTTGAATTTCTTCTCTGACTTTCATTCTGGCCCCTAGGATCTCCTGAGACCCATCTCAGAAACCTGTAATACATTTATATGTACTTGGGTAATGCGCCCCTTTGGAGAGAGATGCATAGAAGCCCAGAGGAAGGTTCTTAGTCTGACTGACAGGGACCCAGGGTCATTGTCAGAGTTTAGATTCTAGTCTGTCTGCAACAGTGCCCTCATCTGGCCAACAGCAAACCAGATGCCATTGTAGATGTCTTACGCATATATACTCCCCCAAGACTAATGACCCCCTCACTCCCACGAAAAACAACATATATAATAAATACTTTTTAAAATACTAATTTATTTTCAAGGAAATATTTCCTCTCACTTTTTCTAATAACCAACTCTTATTTAAACTCTTCTGTATCTCTCCATTGATTAGTTCAGCCATCCACAAACACATTTGAACAATTTCATGATGTCATTCCATTGTTTAAACCCTTTCATTGGCTTTCTTTTGCTCTTATAATACAGTCCCAAATTCCTGAAATGGCTTTTGTGTTTCCAGCCTCTGCTTACCTTTCTTTCTTTATCTCTTCCTATTCCCCTATCAGTGAGTCTTTTTGGCATTGGTGAACTACTTCAAGTCCCCCATGGGCCATGTGCTCTCATGTTGCTTTGCTCATTCCGTCTACCCAGAATGCCATGGCCCCCTTTCTTCCTCATATTACCCTTGTGGAACCCAGCTCAGGCATGTCCTCTTCCAGGAAGCCTACTTTCAGATGGCTTCTTTCTGGGTTCTTATATCTTTCCTATAAGTGCCTTTATTATAGTATTTGAGAGACTAGAAGGGTAGTTATCTCATTATGCTCTGTCTCCCTTATATGGTGACCTGTGTAAGGGAAGGGGCTTACACAAGTCACCTTATGATAAGGGAGACAGAGCATAATGAGATAATTATTATAGCAGCATTTATATATGGAGTACCAGGCACAGTGCTAGGTGCTGGGGAATAGAGGTGAATCTGAGCCACCTTTATTCCCCAGCACCTAGCACTGTGCCTGGCACTCCATACATAAATGCTGCTAAAATAATTGCCAGAGTGGGACTATTTCTAGACCCCTCCAAATATGGCTTGGTAGGACAGCTCTTTATCCTCCATTTTATGTGGTCATTCTTCTTACCATTTTAAATAGTATAGTGAGGGACTATAAATACCACTTAACCAACACTGGTGTCCTCTGACAGCATGTTTTATGTTCAGAGAAATTCTAAGACAAAGGAAAGTACCAGTTGTGTAGACAACCAGTGACCCTCCTGCAAAGAGGATAGCTATCTGTTGATTTAAGATGTTTAAATATCTTAACATATTTCTGTTGTGCTTTATTTTTCTCAGTATGTGCTAGGATTTTTACTTTTCTCATTTCTCTTAAAGATATGAACTTCTTCACACTTTAAACTTTGATGCTGTCCGCCGACGTATGAGTGTAATTGTGAAGACTCAAGAAGGTACATATTTTAAAAACTTGAATTTTTCTCTTTGTTCATTTGTAGGCTTACTGGTTGATTCACTCTTTCAAGAAAGAGAATCATTTCATGTAGTAGCATAGGATTAGTGAAAGTCAGGCGAAGCAGTATTTTTTTGTATATGCCTTCATATATTTTTTTTAAGCGAACATGTTCAGTTTACGAAATCGTTAGCGATAGAACCCTTGTTATGACAGGAAGTGCATTTTCTTGTTAGCTGAACAATACCCCTCTGCCCTGGGTATTCAAACAGGAACTGAAAGGATGACTTGTGTGTGGTTCATGGTACTGACCAGTCTACCAGTGAAGTTTACACGCAGCCACCCAGCATGGTTGGATGGTCTGGGATTACTAGTAGCAGATCCTTGAGTATAGGGAGTTGCTTATTATCCCTCACTGACCTTCCTGGTTCCCCTACTGCTTGACATTCCCTGGAAACAGGTGAGGTAGAGAGGAGTAAGGGCCTGGCTTCTGGGAAATGGCATTGCAGTTTTACTCCAGAGCTCAGGTTCTTTGTTTAACAAGAGTAAAGCTTGCCCTTTGCAGGGGAACTGGTACCATAATCCTGGGCTCCCTCATGTCTTTGGAGGCAACATGGTGGTTCACCTTCTGCTCAGATTCTGCAAGACCCATAGGGGAGCACTTCTGCTTTATTCAAAGGCTCTCAGATACATGTGTGTATGGTGTACCAAGGGGTTTGTTTTCTAAAAATTCTTGATTTCCCAATAATTTACTTTTTACTATTAAATTTTCTAAATTCCTTAATGTGAGAATGGGAGGATATAGACAGATCCTTGGGGGGGAACATATCCCACTTTATTCATACTTTGTGGTATGATTGCAAAGTCATGACATTGATTTTATGTAAGTGACCATGGAGTTTGTTTTGTGAACTTTAGAGTACACTTTGGATGTATAAGAATAAATGAAAAAAAAAAACAATATTTCAAATACTTGCTATTCTTATGTCTGCACATCCACGTGTTCTACAGCAAATGGTGAAATGTCTGCGGAACTTGTCTACAAAGGTCGTTGACCTCAGAGCTACACTTTTTGTTGAACTCGATTGTTTCCCTTACAAGAATAAAGTGTCTCTCTTAGTGCACAACTGTGAATATTTCCTAGATGTGTGAAGTGATCTAAAGCTGCACTTATACTAGCATTCTATAAAGCTATTTTCAAGTTTCAGTAAAAACCATCAAGCCAATGTTTTAAAAGCTAGTTAATATAGTTTATTCAAAATTATTTCAGCTTGTTTGAGCTTAAGTTTTCTTCTTGACATCTGTAGATGCCATGTGTATACTCTAGGCCATGGCTTCACTGCATTTCTTTGTTTCTGGGTTTTTTTGTTTTTGTTTTTGTTTTTTGTTTTTTGTTTTTTACCCGAGAGAGGGTATTACTCTGTCATCCAGGCTGTAGTGACAAGATCATAGCTCACTGCAGCCTTGACATCCTGGGCTCAAGCAATCCTTCCACCTCAGCATCCAGAGTCATTGGGATTATAGGCGTGTATCACCATGCCTGGCTAATTTTTTAATTTTAATTTTTTTAATTTTTAAATTTTTTTTTGAGACGGAGTCTTGCTCTGTTGCCCAGGCTAGAGTGCAGTAGCATGATCTTGGTTCATCACAACCTCTGCCTCCCGAGTTCAAGCTATTCTCCTGCCTTAGCCTCCCGAGTAGTTGGGACTACAGGCACGTGCCGCCATGCCCAGCTATTTTTTTTTTTTTGTATTTTTGTATTTTTAGTAGAGATAGGGTCTCCCTGTGTTGCCCAGGCTGGTCTTGAACTAAGCTTAAGTGATCCTCCTGTTTCGGCCTCCCACAGTGCTGGGATTACAGGTGTGAGCCACTGCACCTAGCATACATTTTCAGAAGGAATTCAGATGCACCTCCTTGACACAAGCCCAGCCTTCCATGAATTGGTGGGAGGAAGTATATTTTAACAGAGAGGTGCATATTGTAAACTCTGGCTTATTAATTGTGTTCATAATGACCTGTAGGGGTGGTGCATGCCTTTCTGACAGACTAAAGACCAAGATTTCTCATTTCATTTGGGCGAGTATTGCAAAGCATGCTCAGAATATATAACACTTGGGTGAGAGAGACCACTTTAAAAGTTATCTCTTATTGAAACCACAATACCGGCCTTAAAACTCTATGTCAAGTACTATGGTTCTTTATTTTAGGAGACATACTTCTCTTTTGTAAAGGAGCAGACTCGGCAGTTTTTCCCAGGGTGCAGAATCATGAAATTGAGTTAACTAAAGTCCACGTGGAACGTAATGCAATGGTGAGCCTATATTCCTTCCCCCACCAATAAGTAAGCAGAGAAATTCAGAAGATGACTGTGTTTATTGGATTTCTGTTTAAATGACAGCTTAAATACATTTTAGCATGTTTTTGTGGTCTGTGTTTTGTATTTGGGGATTCAATAATATTACTTTCTTTATCTTAATATAAAACATTATTCCAGAGCAAGTTTCTGGTCAGAATTTACAGCCTTAAAGACTTTTCAGCAACCTTTGTTAAAAGAACTGTTATTTCCTTTTTCTGAACCTAATTGAATGTGACCTTTTCAGTTGTAATTTGTTCACTTTTATAAACTAAATATGTGTCAGAATTTCTCTTTTGTACATATAGCTGAAGCAAGAGCATTTACAGAGTATGGGTTTTTTTTTTTCAATTATTATGAGAATAACTACAGATCTCCTACTTTACTCCTAGGATGGGTATCGGACACTCTGTGTAGCCTTCAAAGAAATTGCTCCAGATGATTATGAAAGAATTAACAGACAGCTCATAGAAGCAAAAATGGCCTTACAAGACAGAGAAGAAAAAATGGAAAAAGTTTTTGATGATATTGAGACAAATATGAATTTAATTGGAGCCACTGCAGTTGAAGACAAGTAACTAGAAAATGATACTCTAATTATTTTAGTGACCAATCAGTTTGGGTGTGATCTGTCCCAGATTAGTAATTTAATCTCAATGTTTTAAATCTTTAGTTTAGTTTTATTGTTTAAGTGGGTTTAAAGATTTATTATAGCAAGTATGAAAAGTTACACCAGATTTTGAACTATTAGTAGGAATGATTTTTAACCTAGAAGAATGAATCAGTTATCACTAAGGTCTTTTGGCTATTTACTAAGTCATTCATGTATTTATGCACATATTATCAAATAGTCTTGGCATGTGTAGGGAAGGGTACTATAGCCATTGTTTTGTACTGGTGCCTAGGTGAAGGGGTAAGCTTTGAGAGACAGATGAGCAGAAAGGAAATTTAAGGTAGAGTGAACAGCATGAGAGGTTACTCTAGCTTAGTTCAACAGACCAGAGTATGTTTTTACATACTTTATTTACTTATTTGATTTAATTTAATTTAATTTTGCTTTTTTTTTTTTTTTTTTGACAGAGTCTTGCTCTGTCGCCTAGGCTGGAGTGTAGTGGCACAATCTTGGCTGACTGCAGCCTCTGCGGCTGACTGCAGCCTCTGCGTCCTGGGTTCAAATGATTCTTGTGCTGCAGCCACCTGAGTAGCTAGCTGGAATAATAAGCATACGCCAACACATCCAGCTAATTTGTGTATTTTTAGTAGAGATGGGGTTTCACCATGTTGGCCAGGCTGGTCTTGAACTCCTGGCCTCAAGTAATCTTCCTGCCTTGACCTCCAAAACTGCTGGGATTACAGGCATGAGCCACTGGCCTGGCCTGCATACTTTAAAATAATATGCTTTTAACTTACAGGCTCAGCTTTTTCAGACACGATTGCAGGACACTGCCATTGATCTGCTTGAAATAATTTTTAGATTCTTAATATTTTTTGAATTTTCTAAATATTATATATGAAAATTATAAGACTTAAATAAAAAGTTACAAACATATATTCAACCACATTAAAAGGTATTGAAATTCTAATGAAATTCATTTAGTCGAATTTCATTATTATTCTGTGGCCAAAAGAAACCCAGAGGAAAGTGTCATTTTTCTATCCTTTCCTATAAGTATTATAATTAAATTCTCATTCAGGATGGTTGGCATTCCTCTTTTTTTGGAGGGTGGGTCAGGGGTTGTACATTCAGGTAGTACACACGCAGGTTTGTTACGTAGTTATATTGTGTAATGCTGGGATTTGGGCTTCTATTTATCCCATCACCTAAGATATTAACATAATACTTAATGGGTACTTTTTCAACCGTCATTCCCCTCCTGTCTTCCCCCTTTTGGAATCCCTGTTGTCTATTATTTCCCTCATTATGTCCATGTATACCTATTGATTAGCTCCCACTTATAAGTAAGAGCATGCAGTATTTGATTTTCTGCCTCTGAGTTATTTCAGTTAGGATACTGGCCTCCAGCTGTATCCATGCTGCTGCCAAGGATATGATTTCACTCTTACGGCTGCATAGTATTCCAGCAATCTTGCCTGATTGCTCTGGCTAGGACTTCCAGTACTATGTTAAACAGGAGTGGTAAGAGTGGATATCCCTGTCTTGTTCCAGTTTTTAGGGGAAATGCTTTCAACTTTTGCACATTGAGTATGGTGTTGGCTGTGGGTTTGCATGTAGGACCCTTATTATTTTGAGGTATGTTTCTTCAATGCCTAGTTTGTTCTCAGGGGATTGTTTTTAACATCAAGTTATGTCAAGTTTTATTGAATTTTTTTTTTGCATCTATTGAGATGAACATATAATTTTTGTTTTAATTCTGTGTATGTGGTGAATTACATGTATTGATTTGCATATGTTAAGCCATCCTTGCGTCCCAGGAATAAAACCCATTTGATCGTGATGAGTTATCTTTCTGATGTGCTGATGGTTTCAGTTTGCTAATATTTTGTTGAGGATTTTTACATTTGTGTTCATCATGAATAACAGCTTGTAGTTTTCATTTTTTATTGTGTCTTTGCCAGATTTTGATATCAGGATGATACTAGTTTTGCAGAATGAGTTAGGGTGGAATCCCTCCTCATTGATTTTTCTTGGAGTAGTTTCAGTAAGATTGGTACCAACTTTTCTTTATATACATTTGATAGAATTCTGCTGTTAATATTACTGATTCAATTTCATAGCTTATTATTTGAGACAGAGTCTCAAATAATAGTCTGCTTAGGGTTCTTTTCCTCCTGGTTCAATATTGGGAAGTTGTATATTTCCAGGAATTTATTCATTTCCTCTGTGTTTTCCAGTTCATGCTCATAGACATGTTCATAATAGTCTCTGAGGATCTTTTGTATTTCTGTGGTATCAGTTGTAATGTCACCTTTGTAATTTCTGATTACACCTGTGCTTATTTGAATCCTCTCTTTTTCTTAATTTAGCTACTAGTCTGTTTGTTTTTCATTTTTGTTTCATTAATCTGTTGTATGATTTTTTTGGTCTCAATTTAGTTCTGCCACGATCTTTGTTACTCCTCTGCTAGCTTTGGGTCTGGTTTGTTTTTCTAGTTTTTTAGGTGTAACATTAGGTTGTTCATTTGAGAGTTTTCTTCCTTTTTGATATAGGCAATTAGTAGTGCTGTAAACTTTTAACACTGCTTTTGACATACCCTATAAATTTTGGTATGTTGTGTCTCTATTTTGATTTGTTTCAATTTTTTTTACATTTCTGCCTTAATTTCATTATTTACTCAAAAGTCATTCAGGAGCAAGTTATTTAGTTTATATGTACTTGTGTGGTCTTGAGAGTTCCCCTTGTTATTGATTTCTAATTTTATTTCACTCTGTTCTGAGAAGATGTTTGATATGATTTTGAATTTAAGGAGACTTGCTTTATGACTAAGCGTGTGATCAATTTTAGAGAATGTTCATGCACAGATGAGAAAAATGTATATTCTGTAGTTGTTGAGTGGACTGTTTTGTAAATGTCTATTAGTTCTATTTGGTCAAGAGTCCAGTTTAAGTCCAGAGTTTCTTTGTTATTTTTCTGCCTCGATAATCTGTCTTGTGCTATCACTGGGGTCTTAAAATCCCCCAATATTGGCCAGGCATGGTGGCTCACACCTTTAATCCCAGCACTTTGGGAGCCCAAGGTGGGGGGATCACGAGGTCAGGAGATTGAGAATATCCTGTCCAACATGGGGAAACCTCATCTCTACTAAAAATACAAAAATTTGGATGTGGTGGCACATGGCTGTAATCCCAGCTACTGGGGAGGCTGAGGCACGAGAATCGCTTGAACCCAGGAGACAGAGGTTCCAGTGAGCTGAGATCGCGTCACTGCCCTCCAGCATGGCAACAGAGTGAGATTCTGCCCCAAAAAAAAAAAAAAAAAAAAAAAAAAAAATCCGCCCTCAATATTACTGTATGGCTCTCTGTCTCTATGGATGATTGTTTTATCAATCTGGGCCCTCTGATGTTGGGTCCCTATATATTAGGTTAGTTAAATCTTGATGAATTGAATCCCTTTTTATTATAGAATTCCTGCCTTTTTATTTACTGTTGTTGGCTTAGTCTGTTTTAGCTGATACAGGAAGATCAACCCCTGCTCTTTTTTGTTTTCTATTTGCATGATAGATCTTTCTCCATCCCTTTAGTTTTAGTTTGTGGTCGTCATTATGCCTGAGATGAGTCTGTTGAAGTTTTTGAGACCAAGTCTCACTCTGTCGCCCAGGCTACAGTGCAGTGGCATGATCTCGGCTCACTGCAACCTGTGCCTCCCAGGTTCAAATGATTCTCCTGCCTCAGCCTCCTGAGTAGCTGGGACTACAGGCGCCCGCCACCATGCCCAGCTAATTTTTGTATTTTTAGTAGAGACGGGGTTTCACCTTTTTGGCCAGGCTGGTCTCAAATTTATGACCTCAGGTGATCCTCCTGCCTTGGCCTAAAGTGCTGGGATTTCAGGTGTGAGCCACCACGCCCGGCCTAACAGATGGTATTTTTGTATTCAGTGTGCCAGTCTGTGTCTTTTCAGTAGAGCATTTAGGCAATTTACATTCAAGGTTAATATTGATATGTGAAGTTTTGTTCCTGTGTTAGTACTGTTAGTTAATTGTTTTGTAGTCTCAAGGATATAATTGCTTTATAGGATCTTTGAGCTTTTTACTAACATATGCTTTTATAGTAGCAAATATCATCTGTTTGTGCCTGTGTTTAGAGGTCCTTTAAGCATTTCTTATAGGATAGGTTTGGTGGTGACAGATTCCCATAGCATTTGCTTGTCTGGGAAAAACTCTTTATTTCTCCTTCCTTTAGGAAGCTTAGTTTAGCAGTATATAGAATTCTTGGCTGCAGTTGTTTTTCTTTAAGAAGGCTAAAGGCTAGGTATGGTGGCTTATACCTGTAATCCAGTGCTTTGAGAAGTTGAGGTTGGAAGATCATTTGAGCCTGGGAGCTCACAGCTAGCCTGGGCAGGATAGTGAGACCCGCCTACAAATTTTTTAGAAAACTAGGCGTGGTGTCACATACTTGTAGTCCCAGCTGTTTGGGAGGCTGAGGTGGGAGGATTGCTTGAACCCAGGAGTTATAGTGAGCTGTCACTGCAGCTCACTTTAGGTGACAGATTGAGACTTTGTTTCTTTTAAAAAAGGGGTAAAAATACATCCCCAATCTTCTGTCTTCTAAGGTTTCTGCTGAGAAATTAGCTATTAGTCTGATGGTATTTCATTTATAGGTAATTTTTCCTTTTTTTTTTTTTTTTTTTTTGAATCTAGCTGCCTTTAAGATTTTTTTTTCCCTGTTAACGTTGGGTAGTCTGACTATATATGCCTTGGTGAAGGTCATCTTGTGTAGCATATCACCATTGATCTCTGAATTTCTTATATCTGCATGTTGATCTTGAGCAAGGTTCAAGAAGTTTTCCTGAATTATTCCCCAAATATGTTTTCCATGTTGCCTGTTTTTCTTCTCTCTCAGAAATGCCAAGAAGTTATAGATTTTGTTGCTTTACATAATTCCATGTTTCTCAAAGACTTTGCTTGTGTTTTTTAATTTATTTTTTTAATCTGACTGGGTTAATTTGAAAGACTACTCTTCAAGCTCTGCAGTTCTTCTGCTTTGTCTACTCTATTGTTAAAGCTTCCAGGTATATTTTGAAATTGATTTAGTGAATTTTTCATTTCCAGATGTTCTAATTGGTTTGTTTTATTATAGCTGTCTTTCATATCCTGAATCATTTTTCTGGTTTCTTCGTGTTGGGTTTCAACTTTCTCTTGGATCTCGTTGAGTTGCCTTGCAATCCATATTTTGAATTCCTTATCTGTCACTTCAGAGTTTTGATTCTGTTTAGCCTGTATTACAGAGGTAGTACAATCCTTTAAATGTGTCAAGACACCTGACTTTTCGTACCACCACAGTTCTTACACTGATTCCTTCTCATCTGAGGGATCTGTCGCTTCTTATTTTTTAATTTGCTGTAGTTTGGATGAAACATTTTTATTTTTCAATACTTTTTTCCCTTGAGGATATGACTGTGTTATATGTTGTGTATGATTGTTTGGCTTTGTTTCTGGGTGCTTTCAGTGGGGCAAGTCTCTGTGTGGTTTCCTTGGTTGTGGATAGCTTCAGTGCAGTGGCTTTCTCAGATGCTGATTGTTGTAGTGAGGTATGGAATGCAAGGGTCAACACACTGCCTCCCGCAGGGCTAAGGGTGTCAGAAAGCGTGTCATGTGTACTAGCACTAAGCCCTTCTGACAGTAAGTTATTTATTTGGTGGTGCAGTTCAGGCTTCAGTCCAGTAGGTGGAGCTTAAGAGTAAGAGTCAGTTCTTCCTCTGGTAGGCTGATTGATGGGTGGAAACACCTACCCTGAGGGGAGGATGGGGGCAAGGGGTGGAGATCCTATTGGGGTATGCCAAGGTCTTGGGGGAAGAAACGAGGAGGGGTGTACCAGCTCCTCATCCTGTGCAGGTAGGAACATGACCTGCTTCTCTATTATGCCCTGTCATAGGGCTCACAACCTTCAGTTCATATAGACTTTATCCTTTGGTTCCTGGTCACAGTGTGGCTGCAGACCATGAATACACCTCTCTGGTGGTTGCCACCCAAATGGGCTTTGGCCAAGCCTTTCCCCCATGTTCAAAGCAGACAACTCTGCAGCTTACCTGTCCATTGCTGGGATGTTGCTACTCTGTGTAGGGAGTGGGAGTTGGGTCCTGCCCTTTGTGTAAGCCCAATTGGCACGAGCTCATTTTCAGCAGAGGTGGAGCTACTGCGAAAAGTGTGAAAAGTTTCTCCAGGTACATGTGTGCCACCCTCCACTGGGAAGAACCACTGCAGGCTGCGTCAACAACAGTGTACAGAGGGTGGGCGCAGTGGGAAATGTCCCCTCTTCATGACTGTTCTTGGCCGTCAGTGCTACCCCCTTCAGTGATTGTCACTGTGTCCACATTTCCTTTGTCCCAGGAGGGTCCTTGGTGGGCTGTAACCTCCCCCTTAGGGGCCTTCCATGCCGAGAGATAGATCTCTAGGAGTCCCCTAGCTCTCTGTGGACTCGCTGATCCCCCTGAGCTTGCCAAAGTCAGAGTGGGTTGTGGAGTATGTTTGCTGGGGATTGATGGTGTGATAATGCAAGGGCAGAGATTCCCCTAGGTAGGGCATTGGCCCATCACAGCACACCAACAGAATGGTTCCCACTGTCTAAGTTTTGGTCTGAGGGAAGTACTGAGATGCCTGCATGAGCTGGCCACCCAGATCGCTGTCCTTGTGAAGTTCCTGTATCACCACTGACAGCATTACTTTAGGTAAGGAGGGCAGAGGGGTATCCCAGCAGTTTGATAGTCAGGAGATTGTCACAAGGTCAGGGAAGCAGAGAACCATTTCCACCTACCCTTTACTTGGGGCTCTGAGTTCTTCGGGGGTCAGTCTCTGCCAGACTCTCGCTACTTTCCTTTTCTGTATCCCAGCTTCCTCTTTCGGGCTCTCCAACAGGTCCTGGCTCTTTTCCTGCAGTTTTTAGTTCAGAACATGTCCATTCACCAGTAACTTTGATCTTTTTTATGAGGACAATTGGCATCTGACGTCCCTAGTCAGCCATCTTCAAAACTCATGTTCCTGTTCTTAAAGCTCCTCAGGGATAGGGATTCACTAATTTCCCTCATTATCTGATTAGAATCTTTGGCCCTTTATACTTTTAATGATGTTAAGTGATGTTAAGTATTGGTATGGTTAGATATAGCAATGAAATATGCTAAAGTGACAGTGAGTACAAATCTTTCTGAACATCTTAGCTTAGAATGATGATACTCAATTCTGCCATTGGATACCAGTTACTTTGAGGTGTCACAAACTTTTCAGAACCTCATTGTTTAAAATTTAGTAAGTGAAACTATGCCAGAGACAACACTCGGAATGAGTAGGGGATGTTTATGAAAGCCAACCATGATAAGGTGTCAGGACTCTAGAACTGCTATGAATTATAAAAAATACTGTCTTTAACAAGGCTTTCTGTAGAATCTTTGTCAGGAATTTTAGGAAATCACAGGTTTCTTTTGTGTTCCCAGGCTACAAGATCAAGCTGCAGAGACCATTGAAGCTCTGCATGCAGCAGGCCTGAAAGTCTGGGTGCTCACTGGGGACAAGATGGAGACAGCTAAATCCACGTGCTATGCCTGCCGCCTTTTCCAAACCAACACCGAGCTCTTAGAACTAACCACAAAAACCATTGAAGAAAGTGAAAGAAAAGAAGATCGATTACATGAATTATTGATAGAATATCGTAAGAAACTGCTGCATGAATTTCCTAAAAGCACTAGAAGCCTTAAAAAGTAAGAAAGTACATCAGTTTCTTATATGTAGACATTGGTGCAGATGTAAATCACAGCTGTGTATATACAAGGCTTTACTTTCTGTAATTTATGATTTTCTATTTGCCGGTGTTATCGTTATAAGTTAAAATCGTCCCTGAGGACTTGACTGATGGCCCATTTCAGATTATTTGGCACTTTCCACCTATCTTTTAACTTAAAACTGCACATTTCTGAAGGTTTAGAAAAACAGCTCAATTTTTAGATGTTTACAGTCTAGGTGTTCAATGTTGATATTATGGCCTGGTCCATGTTAAGAAAAAAATATTGCTTTCACAGTCTCTTAAATTGAATGTAATAAAATCAATCTCTATGACAATTTTCATGCATTTTGAGGTTCTGGAGCCATTTTATGTGCATTTTTATACCCTGCACCTCCAAAGGGAACCAAATACTTGTTAACATGGCCACTTTATTTAGAGGACATGGCCGCTTTGACTCTGCTTTGAACTAGGAAGAATTTGTGGAACATAAAGGTGTCAGGGAAAGCCACTGATACACAATAATTCAATTCCCAGACATATATCTTTTATACTTCCCATTGACCAAGGGTCAGCCTTGTCTAAACCAATTACTTAAATTTACCTTGGCCATAAGCAAATTGATTTCCTTTTTTGGAATGCCATGGGATGTGTCTGTACTAACTCGAAATATCCCTAAGCAATATTATTTTTAATTTCTTGAGCACACTTTATGTTCCAGAAACAGTGTTAAGGGCTTTGTATGATAATTGTCATTTAATCTTCATTAACAACCCAGTTAGGCAACTGTATTTTCTTCATTTTACAGATAGAGATCACACAGCTAAGAAGGAGTTCAGAAAGTCTATCTAATTCCAGATACCTTGCTTATAACAACTATGCTATATCTGTATACTCATCTCTAATATTTAAACAAACTTTAAAAATGAATAGCCCACATTCATGAGGCTATGGCCAATTTTAAAACAGCTGTTGTTCTAGTACTTGGGCATCAGTGAGAATAAATAGGTTTTTATTAATTGCCTATGAGAAACATTTCCATTAGCCAAGTGGTGCTAATAAAGACAGTCCAAAATATGTGTATTTTACTTCTCCTTTTGTCTTAGTCTACTTGGGCTGCCATAACAAAATACGATAGATTGGGTGGATTAAAAAGCAGAAATTTATTTTTCACAGTTTTGGAGGCTAAAGTTCTGTTACTGGAGTGTCAGCATGGTTGGTTTCTGGTGAGGGCTCTCTTCTGACTTGCAGATGGCTGCCCTTTTCCTGTGTCCTCACATAGCAGACAGAGCTCTGTTGTCTCTTCCTCTTTTTTATTTTGAAACAAAGTCTCACTCTTGTGGCCCAGGCTGGAGTGCAATGGCATGATTTCAGCTCACCACAACCTCTGCCCGCCAGGTTCAAGCAATTCTTCTGCTTCAGCCTCCTGAGTAACTAGAGTTATAGGCATGCACCACCACGCCTGGCTAAATTTTTTGTATTTTTAGTAGAGACGGGGTTTCTCCATGTTGGTCAGGCTGGTCTCGATCTCCCGACCTCAGGTGATCTGCCTGCCTCAGCCTCCCAAAGTGCTGGGATTACAGGCATGAGCCACCACGCCCAGGCTGTGTCTTCCTCTTATAAGGGCAGTAATCCCATCATGGAGGCCCCACCTTCATTAACTCATCTAAAGTCAGTGTATTAGTCTGTTTTCACACTGCTGTTAAAGACATACCAAAACTGGGAACAAAAAGAGGTTAAATTGGACTTAGAGTTCCACATGGTTGGGTAGGTCTCAGAATCATGGCAGGAGACAAAAGGCACTGCTTACATGGTGGCAGCAAGAGAAAAATGAGGAAGAGGCCAAAGCAGAAACCCCTGATAAACCTATCAGATCTCGTGAGAGTTAATTCACTGTCACGAGAATAGTGCAGGAAAAGATCGGCCACCATGATTCAATTAACTCCTTCTGAATCCCTCCCACAACACATGAGAATTCTTGGAGATACAATTCAAATTGATATTTGGGTGGGGACACAGCCAAACCATATTATTCCACCCCTGGCCCTTCCAAATCTCATGTCCTCACATTTCAAAACCAATCATATCTTCCCAACAGTCCCCCAAAGTCTTAACTCATTTCAGCATTAACCCAAAAGTCCACAGTCTAAAGTCTCATCTGAGATAAGGCAAGTCCTTTCTGCCTATGAGCTTGTATAAAATCAAAAGCAAGCTAGTTACTTCCTAGATAGAATGGGGTACAGGTATTGCATAAATACAGCCATTCCAAATGAGAGAAATTGGCCAAAACAAAGGGGTTACAGGGCCCATGCAAGCCCGAAATCCAGCCAAAATTTGACTCTGTGTCTCACATCCAAGTCATGCTGATGCATGAGGTGGATTCCTATGGTCTTGGGCAGCTCTGCCCCTGTGGCCTTACAGGGTATAACCTCCCTCCTGGATGCTTTTGCAGGTTGGCATTGAGGGGCTGTGTCTTTTCCAGGTGCGTGGTGCAAGCCATCAGTGGAGCTACCATTCTGGGGTCTGGAGGATGTTGGCCGTCTTCTCACAGCTCCACTAGTCAGTGCCCCAGTAGGGATTCTGTGTGAGGGCTCTGTCCCCATATCTCCCTTCTGCACTGCCTGAGCAGAGATTTTCCATGAGGGCACCATCCCTGCAGCAAACTTTTCCCTGAGCACCCAGGCATTTCCATACATCTTCTGAAATTTAGGTGGAGGTTCCCAAGCCTCAGTTCTTGACTATGCACCCACAGGCTTAACACCATGTGGAAGCTGCCAAGGCTTGGGGCTTCCACCCTCTGAAGCCATGGCCCAAGCTCTTCGTTGGCCCCTTTAAGCCATGGCCGGAAAAGCTTGGACACAGGGCACCAAATCCCTAGGCTACACACAGCATGGGGACACTAGGCCTGGCCCATGAAACCACTTTTTCATCCTGGGCCTCCAGGCCTGTGATGTGAGGGGCTGCTGTGAAGGTCTCTGACATGGCCTGGAGACATTTCCCCCATGGTCTTGGGGATTAACATTAGGCTCCTTGCTACTTATGCATATTTCTGCAGCTGGTATGAATTTCTTCTCAGAAAATGGGTTTTTTCTTTTCTTTTACGTGGTCACACTGCAAATTTTCCTGAGCTTTTGTTTCCCTTTTAAAATGAAATGATTTTAACAGCACCTGAATCACCTTTTGAATGCTTTGCTGCTTAGAAATTTCTTCCACCAGATACTCTAAATCATCTCTCTCAAGTCCAAAGTTCCACGAATCTCTAGGGCAGGGGCAAAACACCGCCAGTCTCTTTGCTGAAACGTAACGAGTCACCTTTGCTCCAGTTCCCAACAAGTTCCTCATTTTGAGACCACCTCAGCCTGAATCTTACTGTTCATATCACTATCGGCATTTTTGTCAAAGCCATTCAACAAGTCTCTAGGAGGTTCCAAATTTTCCCACATCTTCCTGTCTTCTCTGAGCCTTCCAAACTTTTCCAGCCTCTGCCTCTTTCTTACTGAGTTGCAAAGTCACTTCCACATTTTCAGGTATCTTTTCAGCAATGCCCCACTCTACTGGTGCCAATTTACTATATTAGGCTGTTTTCGTGCTGCTGATAAAGACATACCTGAGACTGGGAAGAAAAAGAGGTTTAATTGGACTTATGGTTTCACATGGCTAGGGAGGCCTAAGAATCATGGCAGGATGCAAAAGGCACTTCTTATGTAGCAGTGGCAAGAGAAAAATGAAGAAGCAAAAGTGGAAACCCCTGATAAACCCATCAGATCTCATGAGACATCATTCAGCTCTCACAAGAATAGCACAGGAAAGACTGGCCCCCATGATTCAGTTACCTCCCACTGGGTCCCTTCCACAACACATGGGAATTCTGGGAGTACAATTAAAGTTGAGATTTGGGTGGGGACGTAGCCAAATCACATCAGCCAGTTACCTCTCAAGGGCCCTACCTTCTAATAACACAACACTGGGAGTTAAGAGCTTCAACAGAGGAATCTTGGGAGAATGCAATTCAGCCTATAACAGACAAAAATCCCATTATGAGGGCCTCACCCCCTAAAGGTGCTATCTTCAAGTACAATCACATTGGGGGTAGGACTTCAACATACGAATTTGCGGGGGAACACAATTCAGTCTGTAGCACCATTCAGCAGCCCCGAAGGGACTTCTATAAAAGCCAGAGCTTAAGGAAAACTTTGCATTCTATCACTGTCTCAGATCAACCCATCTTCCTGGTTATCTGTGTGGAGTAGGGCTTAGTCTTTTCTCTGCTTACTTACACAGGGTTCAGACTCATAGCATCACCTTTGCTGGCTTCTGCTCCTTTGCCCTTTCCCCTTCAAATCAGCCCCCAAGCCTTATTCATACTCCCATTTTCACTACTAGTGCCCCGCATTAGAGGCCTAGTACCTCATGCATGAAATCCCTTAAGCCCCTCTGCCAGATGAATGATCTTTAAGTGAAGTACTGTCCCTATCACAGTTCTGCTCAGAAACCTTTGGTGGTTCTCTATTACCCACAGATTCAGGCCACACCAAAAGCCTTAAGGGACCTTTTCAATGTGCTTTTCCAGTGCACCCCAACATACATTCTATTACTTGACCTCCTCCTTGTCTTTCAAGTCCTACTTTATATACCACACTTCACAGAGAATTCACTATTTTCTGTGTGGATGTGTCTCAATAACTGAGCATTAACTTGAATATCTTGTTTGGTTGGGTATGTTCTCTCATGTATGCTTCCATCACTGTAAGGAGATTTTCTATTCTCCATAAAAAGATTAGTCAGTAATTCTTTGTATTCCTCTATATAGTGAACTTATAGTTGGTGTTCACAAATATTTCTTCATTGGTTATTGAGTTGCTGTTTTCAGCCCCAAAAGTAAGCTATTAATATATGAGTAGGGGAGCAAAGAAAGAGAACACAATCATTGACATCTCTTTATTTAGTGAATAAAATTATGCAGCAAAATATGGATAAGTATACAATATTATGGTATTAGCAGTATACACTGAAGGAATATAGAATAAAGGAGTGATGAGTTATATGAGGCCCTCACTATTCAAAGTTTCATCTATAGAATAGCAGCTCCATTGTCACTGGACAGAAATGCAAAATCTCAGGAAGAAGCTAAGGCTACTGCGTTAGGAAGTCTCAGCGCTTCTCTTAAAACCTTTCAAGTGACTGAATCAGGCCCACTCTAGTTATCTAGGATGATCTCTCTTACTTGAAATCAACTGCTTGTGGACTTTTATCACCTCTACAAAGTACCTTTACAGCAACGCTTAGATGCTTGTTTGGTTAAATAACTGGGAAATGTGGCCTCACCAAGTTGACCTTTTGGAACTTACAGTCATCTATATGTGCAGCTTGGGTCTCAAAGGTAGGATTGCAAGTCACTGTTGTGCCATTATTAGAGGCCCTTGCTTCTTTAGAGTGAAAAGGTCAAGGAACCAGACTGATGACTCCTCTTACCTGGAACAGCCCCCTTTGTGGTTTATAAAATCTGGATCCTAAATAGAAATGTATAATAGATCCAAACATAGCATTGTTTTTCTTTTTCAGAGCATGGACAGAACATCAGGAATATGGATTAATCATAGATGGCTCCACATTGTCACTCATACTAAATTCCAGTCAAGACTCTAGTTCAAACAATTACAAAAGCATTTTCCTACAAATATGTATGAAGTGTACTGCAGTGCTCTGCTGTCGGATGGCACCATTACAGAAAGCCCAGGTAACTGTGAACATTAGTTAACGTTCCATTCTGGATATTTCTATACACATATGTGCAAATGTTTATTTTTTAAAAAAAATTATTTCTTCTTCAAAGGGCCATTATTACCATCTAATTTCTTCCTCCCAGGCTTCTTTCTTTTTGTAATCAGATTCAGAAGTCTTTTCCCATTTCGAATTAAATTTATGCTGTATCTTGCTGTCCCCTCAGTCTGGCTGTCCCAATTCCTCACCTTCCAGACTTTTTTCTCTGATGAGTGCTTTGTGCTTGTTGCCACTGCTCCTAGACCCCGTATGACATTAGCTCTGTGTGTTCTTTCTGCTATTCTTACTCCATTGGCTTGCCCGCAGGTAGACCTGGCCCATCCCTTGTGTAGTCTTCCATTCTCTTTCTCATTTCTCCTTAGCACTTGACATCATCAATTATATCCTCCTTAAAATTATCCTTTCATGGTTTCTGTGATGGTCCGTGGTCCTGACATTTTATTTGTCAACTTAGTGGCTTTTTATTTTGTCCCATTGTCTATTTTCTCCCTAATTATCTGTTTTTTCTAGGGCAAAGTTTTTTCTCCACTTTCAACTTTATGGTCTCTCACTGGATAAGCACATCTATTTCTCTGACTCCCATTGATAAATGTGTGGCCCTGACTTTTTCTTGACATTAAGTCTCCTATTTCTACTTGTCTGCTAGACAACTCTATATGGATTCCCTACTGTCACAAAAATTCTAGTGTCCAACACAGATCTTAAAATGTTCTTCCTCAGACCAGTTTGGTTTTTCTTTTATATTGCTCTTGTTACCAGTGTTATTTTTCTCTTGTTCCCTATGTCTCAAAACTACCTTTGATCCTTCTCCTTTTCCTCTACATATAGACACCATGTCCTATTGGTCCTAGCTTTTGTCATAGGTCTCATTTTGATGCCGTATTTCAAAACCTTTTACTGCCCGACTAGTCCAAGCCCTTGTGACTTTACACATAGACTATTTGATTTAGTCTCCTCACTAGTCTCCTTGCTTTCACCCATCCATTTTTAATCCCTCCACACTCCCAAATTAATCTTGTTAAAACACAGCTCTTACCATCATATATTCTTTTTCAGACACTTTCAGTAGTTTCACAGTCTCTCAGGATGAAGGGCAGTTGACTGAAGGTCGTACATGGGGCTCCCCATTGTTGTCCCTTAACATGTCTCTATGTATTTTGTGCGTTGTGTCCGCTATCACTCCTTTCTCTGGCGTGATATGGCCTCTGATTGCTCTCATATCCAACCAGAACACACTATCCAAAAGTATCTGTCCCCTTAGTCAGAGGTTTGCCTGCAAAAGCAACCTCTTTTTTTTCCCTTACATTCAGTGTATGCTGCTCAAATTGTTCACCTGGGTTCTGACTGCTTCATTGTCAGGGAGGTATATGAATTCCTGACCCCATGCTGCTTCTTCCACCTTGATTATGCCACCACTTGTGGTTTAATCCTCATTTTGTTTTATTTCTGTCAGTATAGTCATTTCTTGCAGGATATTACATACTTAGCTGTCACGTTCACGTAGGTGATGTTCAAGTCACTATCCCCAATCCAAATATTTGGTAATCATCTTCTTCAGCCAAACACATATTCTTAGGTGTGGGATTATCACCCCAAATCTGACTTCTCTAGAGTCCAACCATCATTTTCCTTGGCATGTTCTTTTTCTATGACTGACCTCAGTGTACTTCCAGATTTCTAGATTCAAAACCTTGAAACCTGTGTTGCCTTTCCACATACTTTACTCTTCCATTGTGGTTTGTGGTCTTAGTAACTAAATGTTGTATATTTCTTATTACATTGTCTTTTACATCTATTCCTTTCTTTTCATTACCTTTCCGAGCCAGGCCTTTCAATAGCTCATTGAACTTCTGGAACTAGCCACCTAACTTCTCTCTTTGCCTACAGTCTTGCTTTCCTCCACTTCTTCCTACACCCTGCTGCCACTTTCATATCACTCCCTGTTGAACTAGCTCCAGATATTTCTGTCCATGTCCCCCATATGAAAATTCCAATTGATCTGGGCAAGCCAGATCTCTTCTCTCAGCAGGTACTGTATTTATCTGGCTGTATGCTCTTGGATATGCTAATCCCTTTCTCTGAAATACTCCTTTCTTTCTCATCTATGCGAGTCTTAACTAATATTTTGTGATTTAGATCAAATCACTCTTCCTTCTGTAAAATTTCTGATCACTTGGGCATGTGATGTCTTCTCCCTTCTCTGACATCCTAGACCTTCTTATGTGGATGACAGTATCACGTAACCCTGCACAGATGCTACGTTTTGTTACCTTGTATTGTTAATCTGTTTATCTAATATTCTTGTACTCATGACCTAACTTTACTACTTCATTTATATGCTTTTTAAGGTGTCTAATGAAACTTTCTGTTTTGGCTCTTAGCACATTCCTGTATATAAAATAAAGCAAGCTATTATAATTGATGAATAAACAATATTTTGTAACTTTTTTTTCATGAAGCTATCCTAGAGATTGAAGAGGTCTTAATCTAGTTGACCTAGGGCTAAGTGAAAAAGTCCATGTTTACCAATCTAAATCCTTCATTATTTTATGGTACATGATTGAATACCCTTTTATCTTTCCACAAGGATGAGTTTTACTCTTTTTAGTCTATATTTTCATACAGAAGCTGTCACTCTTGATAATTTTATTGCCTTCTCTAAACCTTCCCTGGCTGTGTATTTTTTCCTTGACGTGCAAATCATTACTGCACACAGTATAACATGTGCACTTAGTTAACCATTGTTGTAGCCTATTACAAACAAATTTAGTTGGGGTTCTTTAATTTTGTCTTTTATTCTTTCACTTACAGGTGATTTCTGACAGTCTTCTATAAAGTTTTTAAGAGGAACCAACCTGAGGGGGAGGGATTGGGGAAAGCTGGCATTTTGCAGTCACAACATTTTTGTGTTAAGTGGAATTGGATGTGGGGTTTCTTTGTACCATTTAATACAACTACAACCTGATTGAATTCTGTTTAAAGAAATAACTGCAGGGTGCCTTAGCCTCATATGAATTATTTTTAATCACTCCAGTTATGTTGAAAATGGATTTTATTTATGTTAACTGGTCAGAGCAATTGTGAGGACAGTATTTTTGCAAAGCATTATTTAGCTACTAAATTATTTAAAGTTTTTTTAAGCTGCTGGATTCCAAGGGGTTTTGTGGCTTGCCACATCTAACAGTGATTATCTAAAACATAGGGAAGGAGGGCAGCTGATTACTCAATAGACTTCCGACAAATAACTCTGCCAGAAGGTTTTTGGAGAACCACAAGACAGAAGTATTTTAGTACCAGGGATGAACATTTTTTTCAGTACCTGTCATGAACATGGCACTGAATTACACAGTATCATTTATACATCTTGAAGAACACTCAGGGAATAGTGACAGGCTTTGATCTGAAAAAACACTCAGGGAATAGTGACAGACTTTGTACACATATCTTGGGCATCTTTCTGCAAATGTCAGCCCCTTTAGTATACATCTTTTAAAATATAGCTACTCATAGGAGAGGTCAGATCATATTGAGCAGTGAGAGATTTATTAAAGTTTAGTTGGCAGCCAGATAGGTGCAAGAATTTAACATTAGGTAGGTTCCTGGGAATAAGGGTTGATGTGCTCCTAGAAAAGGTGAGAGTGTCAGCAGCAAGGAGAGAGTAGAAAGTAACCAAAAACATTGTTCTCTGACTTTCCACTTGGTTCTGGTGGCCCTATATATGTTACCCCAAATCAACTTTCTGGCTTCTGTCATACATTCAACATTGGATCTGAAATAACACATGATGCAATCACAAAAGAAGGAAATGTATTGACCTCTAATATGCATGAGAGGCAAGTTTTTTGATAGTTCATGTATGTACAGAACTAGGACAAATTGGTGTTGGTGTTACAGTTTGAATGGCTGTGTTCTGCATTCTATGAATTTGACACTATTGTACATATTACAGTTGGCCCTCCGTATCCACGGGTCCTGCATCCACAGATCCAAACAACTGTGGATTGAAAACATTAGTATAAAACTAAAACAATTAACAATATAACAATAAATAATACAGATTTTAAAACAATATAGTATGACAGCTATTTACATAACATTTATATTGTAGTTAGGTATTCAGAGTAACCTAGAGATAATTTAAAGTATGCAGGAGGATTTTGGTATCTACGAGGGTACTGGAACCAATCTTCCAAGGATACTGAGGGATGACTATATATGCACAAACTACCTTTCTATTTGCAAGGTCACTATTTACAAGTGTGAATGAGGCATAAACCCCTAAAGTAGTCCAATCTTACATTCTTCTTTGACCGTTTTTATACCTCTTTTGTATTTAATATTTAGATTGTCAGAATGGTGAAGAATTTAAAAGGCAGCCCAATAACTCTGTCGATAGGTGATGGTGCCAATGATGTTAGTATGATCTTGGAATCCCATGTGGGAATAGGTAAGATATATCTAATGAGATGGCAGCTGTAAAAAGTACCAGTATTGCTTTTAGGTAGTGTGGTCTTATATTCTAGAGTGACTGTTTTGGTTGCTCATCTTGAATTTGAATTTTGGAATGATAATTGTTAAGTAAATGAAGGCCTCATCTGATCATGCAACATGTCCATCCCAAGGTCTACCCTGTGGTAGAAATGTAGCAGTGTTACAAAGTTAAAGGATATTTTTCAACTAGCCAAGTCAAGTGAATTTCCCAAAGCTAGTGGCAGCACAATTGACTGTTTAGCTCTTACTTTGACAGCATGCATGAAATTTTTATTGATTTTCTGCTCCTGGCCAGACGGCCTGCTTATGTTGCTGTACTATATCTTTTGAGATCTCAACTGTTTGGAGCTGAGAAATGATAACTGGTTGGCTGTTTTTCAACGTGGCAGTATTTATGGGTAGTTTGGGCTGTGGTGTTGAATTTATATGTTGACATGCAGCAACAGCTTTTCCACCACCTGTACCATTTTTTCCCTTCTCAGGTTGCTGTTAGGCAACAAAACTAACTCCTCAGCAAGTTAGTTAGCTAGTTTGTTTTGGCAGGGTGGTGGGGCCAGATATGGAATTCATATCTTGTGAATTATTGTACTGCAGTTTGGATTCCCAAATTGTTCTTTCCATTTGGAAGTAGTACTATTTAGTGTGCAACTAAAGTTCTACTCGTTGGTTATCCAAGTATGGAAATGGCCTAAAGCTGCTCAAGCTAATAGAACCCTCATTCATGAAAGAATTTCACTGTTTTATCATTGAGCTACTAGACCACAAACCCCAGGTTTCTGAGTTGCCTTAAAACACCTAGTCTAGCATCATACACAATTAAGCACTTAATGAGTGACTTAATCATTTTTAAGTTGAATCTTTTTCCTTCATATAATTTTTGCCTTGTAATGATTGAAATAATGATTCTATTTAATTATTATATGTTGTATTACAAATAGGGAGTTACCAGTTAAACCTAGTTAAATTATTTGGTAAGTCTCAGTGTCACTGTTACTACCCCTTTGGTTTTTAAAAAGGGGAAACTAAATGATAGAATAGAACTATGACATTTAACTAAGTTGAAACTATGAAAATAAATCTGGGAGTCATTTATTCTAGAAAATACTCACTGTATAGAGATACTCTCTTTTAGGAATTAAAGGCAAAGAAGGTCGCCAAGCAGCTAGGAATAGCGATTATTCTGTTCCAAAGTTTAAACACTTAAAGAAACTGCTCTTGGCTCATGGACATCTATATTATGTGAGAATAGCACACCTTGTACAGTACTTCTTCTATAAGGTATGTGATAAAATATATGTAATTTAATTTTGTTTAAATCCAGCATTGGCTCAGCGTGGTCATGGTTTTGTTCCTTTTTTCATGCTGCTTTTGCTATGTCATAGTGAAATTTGTAGTCAACAAAGCAGAGGTGGTCTGTTGAATGAATCAGAAACCAGAAATTCCTTTTGATGTAAAATATCCTATAGGAATTTTAAAGCCCTCTTTATTGAAGTATAAATTAAATACAACACAGTGTATTCATCAAAAGTGTACAGTTTCATGAGTTTTGCCAAATGTATACATCCATGTAACCATCACACCAATCAAAAAAATAGAACATTTTGGCCTGGTAATGGCTCATTCCTATAATCCTAGTGCTTTGGGTGGTCAAGGCAGGAGGATCACTTGAGATCAGGATTTCGAGACCAGCCTGGGCAATATAATGAGTCCTTGTCTCTACAAAAAAAAAAAAAAAATTTCTAAAATGAAATTTTTGCAGTCATTTGTAATTGTCTATAAACATGCCAACCAAGAGAACCAGTGGTAACATTGTGATATGTGACCTTCTGGTCTTTTGTCTATACAAATTAATGTGTGTACATACTATTTTTATACTTTTATACACTATACACTACATAAGGGTTAAAAAAAATTTTTTTTGAGATATAATTTAACAAAATTTACCTTTTTTTTTCTTAAAGACAGAGTCTCGCTCTGTTGCCCAGGCTGGAGTGCAGTGGTGCAATCTGAGCTCACTGTAGCCTCCGCCTACTGGGTTCAAACGATTCTTATGCCTCCGCCTCCCAAGTAGCTGGGATTACAAGCACATGTCACCATGCATGGCTAATTTTTGTATTTTTAGTAGAGACAGGGTTTCACCATGTTGGCCAGGCTAGTCTCGAACTCCTGACCTCAAGTAATCTGCCCCCTTCAGCCTCTCAAAGTGCTGGGATTACAGGCTTCAGCTACCGTGCTTGGCCTAAATTTCACCATTTTAAAGTGTATAATTCAGTGACTTACAATGTGTTCACTATGATGTGCAACTATCATCACTGTCTAATTATAAAACTTTTCTATCATTCCCAAAAGAGACCTTGTACATATTGGTGTAATACATCTTGCTTTGCACTTGCCTTTTTCATTTAATTTATATTGTGAACATTTTTCTCACCCAATTTAATATTCTTCAAAACATGATTGTGCAACATCACAAATCCCCAATATTGGACACTCAAGTAGTTTCCTCAACAATACCTTGGTTTCGTTTTATCACCAAGCATTACAGTATACATTAGAGTGAGTCTGCATACCTGTTATTGTCTTCCAGGGAATAGAATTTACCAAATTTCTTATATTCTAGTTTGTAGGTATAGTATTAAGTGTATGTTCCAACTACTCAAATCCTATGGAATTTAGTATATGATTCAAGTAGTTATGATATTTGAATTTCATACTCTATATTTTACAAGAGCTAATGCTCAGCAACTGATTTTGCATGTCAGTTGTCTATAGTCAAGCCTGGGTCTTTCTTACTAACTTTATATTAATGAAAATATATATTTATGAAACTGTGAACCCAGTTTCACAGATTTTCTAAGACCCTGCCAGCCAGTATCCTTTGGTAGCCAGGCCAAACACTGTGGGAGGGGGAAGATGATGATAATGATGATGGTAACCCAATATGTGTAAGGTATTTTGTGAGTTCACAAAATCACTTTTTAAAAAATGTAATCCTCACAAACATCCTATGAAGCAAGTAGTATTATCTCCATTTAAGATACATGGAAAATAGAGCTCAGAAAGATGATATAACTTGCCTTTGGCTTTCTAGCCTGGAAGTGACAGAGCTAGATGTTCCACCATAGACTCATTTAATCCAAATCCATGACTTTTCCTGTGTCACAGTTAGGGTCTGTTGCGCCTTGTACCCAGCAGTTCATGGAAATAAAGGGTTATTCTCTCTTGACCTCCACCTAGTAGGAGATCCCTTGAAGATTTGTCATACAGATCTGCCTAGTAATCTGAACCTATTCCAGAGGCTTACTTTGCCTCTTTCGAATTTTGGCCTGCAATTCAAGCACCTGCCACCAGATGGAAGGAATGATCTGTTAAGGAGAACAAAACAAGCATTAAAATGGCAAATGTTGACCGGCAGCTATTTATGTAGATGATAACCTCTGTCTTTCCTTAGTATCTCTAGGCCCATTATCATCTTGGTTACTGACTCAGCAGTATTTCTTTTTTATTAATATCTTTTGTGCCAAGAGGATTTCTAGTATTTCCAACTCTATTTGGCTGGCCTAAGAAGTCTTTCCTTCCTCTTGCCACTGCATCTTCAAATTGTTATTGCCCACTCGTGGAGTACTTCAGTGACAGGTCTTCCTGCTTTACGTTTCTCAATTTAATCCTCCTTACATAATTCAACTTGATTAGTGTTTAAAGAATGCCACTTTTCGTGTTGAACAATGAGAACATAAGGACACAGGGAGGTGAACATCACACACTGGGGCCTGGGGGATGGGGGTCTAGGGGAGGAATAGTAGGGGGTGGGGACATGGGGAGGGATAGCATTAGGAGAAATACATAATATTGATGACGGGGTGATGGATGCAACAAACCACCACCATGGCACGTGTATACCTATGTAACAAACCTGCACTATCTGCACATGTACCCCAGAACTTAAAGTATAATAAATAAATAAATAAACAAATAATTAAGCAACAAAAAAAAAGAATGCCACTTTTCAGCTTGTTCCTTAGAAACTTTACTCTCTATTGTCTCAGCTTTAGTCTGGCTTTTAAGGCACCCCACAGTCTGACCCTGTCTTACCATATAAGTTTAAAATATATACGTTCTTGCCTTGGTTCCTGCCATCAGTATGTCCTGTTCATCTTTATTCATAGTTCAAGTTTTAACTTCTTTATTCAGTCAGTCAACAAATGTATTTTAAATGTATTATCATGTGCCAAGTCCTGTTTTAGGCACTTGAGGATACACCATGGAATAAGACAGGTAATGTCCCAGTTCTCATGAAACTTACATTCTCATGGATGAGGTAGACACCCACTCTCCCTTCTCATGAAGCAACCCTATGATCCTCACTGAACTCTACCTACTTCAACCTCAGAACACTTATTTTTTACGTAAATTGTGACTCGAGAAATACTTTGAACTACATCTTGCCTTGTATCAGAACTGATAATATAAAATGAGTGTTGCCCTTCCAGGTGATGACCTTGGGAGCTCTGACTCATACTGCAGGGGTGATTCAAAACATGTTGAGCTCATTTCTTTAGAAACGTCCTCCAGAGCCAGTAGTACATTGATCTGAATATCCTCAGCTGTGGTAGATGTTCATCCTTTAAGGTTGCATTTGATTTTTAAAAACAGTCTCAAGTCTCCTAGAGCTAATTCTGGAGAATTAGCTGACAGAAGGGAGGAGACTGGTTTTCTGGCATGACTGGAAAGTGGGCTCTTGAAGCAGCTTGTTGAAGGGAAGTTCAGAGATAACCATGAGCAAGTGACAGCAAAGAAGCTTACAGCCTGCTTTGAAGGATAGCACTTGTTTGAAAATTCTAGTCCTAGTGGTTTTGCTTAAAGACATCAATTTCAATATTTTATAATCACACTTAGTAGCTTTTACTACCTTATGAATTCCCAGCTTGTATTTCTTTTCTGCTTGCCTTTTTAGTATTTGATTTCAAATTAAAGAAGTCCCTTAGGACAGCAATCTCCAACCTTTTTGGCATCGGGGACCTCAGACTGTTAGGCTCACTTGCCTGCCGCTACCTCCTGTTGTGCAGCCTCGGGAAGGGGTGGGGTGGGGGCCCTGACTTAGGAGAAAGAAGTTGACTTTTTTTTTTGTATCACCTATGTGCCATCTTTGTGTATAGTAGATGCTCAATAATGATATGTTGATTGTTTGATGAGGTAGTAATAAAGGTATTAAAGCATTTGTTGATATTGTTAGTGTCAATATAATCTGTAGTAGTTTCCTAACTATTGGCATTGACTTTGTATGCTTATAGCATTGTCAGTCTACTATATGATTTGCAAATCTAATTGGTGTTAAAGATACAGTACCATTTAGTGTTCATATTGGATTAGCTCATTTCTTTCCTGGAAGAAGAATAGCAAGAGATTCTCATAAAGTAAATAAGATCCTCTTCTGCCTTGATAGGGCAAAAGTTGTTCTTAATATGAATTAATAATTTTTTGAGTTGTTACCTTATGTCTCTGGAATAGAGGTTTATTGCATTCTGACATTAGAAGGATTTAGGAATAATTGTAAACTATTTGGCATATATATTCCCATTTTAGTTTAGCAAGTTGATTAAGTGAAGATGTTAATTCTTGTCTTAATGTTTTTTTTCTAGAACCTTTGTTTCATTTTGCCACAGTTTTTGTACCAGTTCTTCTGTGGATTCTCACAACAGGTTTGTTTCCCAAGTTATTCATTATAATGTTTGCATTTGCTGTTAATAAATTATCCTTATATATTAGATTTATAGAGATTAGAGATGTATGTCTAAAGTAAAAGGACCTCTTGGTTTTAACAACAGCAAATGTTTATGTCTTTGCTTTACTAGTTTTCCTATTGTTACCTTCATTTTGGTATACCCTGTTAGAGTTGTGATAACATTACAAAGAGTATTTTGAAATTTCCCTTTTTATCAATGTATAAAATCTGTTTCACAATTCTAAAATGTTATAACTTAATATTTCATTAAATGAAATCTCCAAACTTTGGAGCTTCTCAGGTTAGTTTTATAGAAAATATTAATCTTTAAGCTAGTCGAGAACTGTCATTCCTAGAGAAAGCCTTGGATTACATAAAGCAGCTATAGATGTTTTGCCTTCTATTGTTTTCTGAACATACATAAGGAGTATGCTATATATTAACTTGATACCTAACTGGTAGGATGGGAAGGCATCTTTGTTTTAAACAACTGAAATGGATTTGGCATTACTTCTCGTGGAAGTATAGTGAAATACAGGAGCTATAATACTCAGTGACTCAGAAATTTTTAATTAATCTATGAGAAGTTTAGTGATTTTGCCAGACTGAGCTACCACATTGCCATAGGTATTAGAGACTGAGTTTCTAAATTTCAAAGGCAAGCTTTGTATACATTTCTGTGAATACAAAGTACACTTATGAATACATTTATGTTTTCTTCTTGATTCTTCCTGGTAGGAAGTGATTTTTTCTAATTCTTTGGCAGTATTTTTTCTTTTTTTTAACTTTTAGGTTCAGGAGTGCATGTGCAGGTTTGTTATATAGGTAAACTTATGCTACAGGAGTTTGGTGTACAGTTTATTTTGTCACCCAGGTAATAAGCATAGTATCCGATAGGTAGCTTTTTGATCCTCTCACCCTACAACCTGAAGTAGTCTCTGGTGTCTGTTGTTCCCTTCTTTGTGTCCATGTGTTTTCATTGTTTAGCTGCCACTTATAAGTGAGAATATGCTGTATTTGGTTTTCTGTTCCTGTGTTAGTTTGCTTAGGATAATGGCCTCCAGCTCCATCTATGTTGCTGCAAACGACAGGATCTGACTCTTTTTTATGGTCACATAGTATTTCATGGTGTGTATGTACCACATTTTCTTTATCCAGTCTACCATTGATGGGCATTTAGGTTGATTACATGTCTTTGATATTATGAGGAGTGCTGCAGTAAACATATATGTGCGTGTGTCTTTATGGTAGAATAATTTATATTCCTTCAGGTATATACCCAGTAGTGGGATTGCTGGGTTGAATGGTAATTCTGTTTTAAGGTCTTTGAGGAATCACCACACTGCTCTCCACAATGGCTAAACTAATTTACATTCCCACCAACAGTGTGCAAGTGTTCCCCTTTTCTCTGCAACCTTGCCAGCATCTGTTATTTTTCGACTTTTTAATAACAGCCATTCTGACTGGTGTGAGATGGTATTTCATTTTTGTTTTGATTTACATTTCTCTAATGATTAGTGATGTTGAGCGTTTTTTCATACGCTAGCTGGCTGCGTGTATGTCTTCTTTTGGAAAGTTTCTGTTCATGTCCTTTGCCCACTTTTCAATGGGGGTGTTTTATTTTTGCTTGTAAATTTATTTAAGTTATTTATAGATGCTAGATATTAGACATTTGTCACGTTCATCATTTGCAAATGTTTTCTCTCATTTTGTAGGTTTTTTACTCTGGTCAGTTTACTCTGTTAATAATCATCTTCTTGTATGCAGAAACTATTTAATTAGGTACCATTTGTCAGTTTTTGTTTTTGTTGCTATTGCTTTCATCATCTTTGCCATGAAATCTTTGCCAGGTCCTATGTCCAGACCGGTATATCCTAGGTTGTCTTCCAGGGTGGTTATAGTTTTAGGTTTTACATTTAAGTCTTTAATCCATCTTGAGTTGATTTTTATATATGGCATAAGGAATGGGTCCAGTTTCAATCTTCTGCATATGGCTAGTGAGTTATCCCAGCACCATTTATTGAATAGGGATTCCTTTCCCCGTTGCTTGTTTTTTGTCAATTGTGTTGAAGATGAGGTGATCATAGATGTGTGGCCTTTTTTTCTGGGCTCTCTCTTCTGTTCCATTGGTCTGTATGTCTGTTTTTGTACCAGTACCATGCTGTTTTGGTTACTGTAGCCCTGTAGTACAGTTTGAAGTCAGGTAATGTCTCCAGCTTTGTTTCTTTTGCTTAGGATTGCCTTGGCTATTTGGGCCCTTTGTTTGGTGCCATATGAATATTAAAACATTTATTTCTAAATGTGAAGAATGTAATTAGTAGTTTGATAGGAATAGCATTTAATCTGTAAATTGCTTTGGACAGCATGACCATTTTAACAATATTGATTCTTCCTATCCAAGAGCATGGAATGTTTTTCCATTTGTTTGTGTCATCTCTGATTTCTATGAGCAGCGTTTTGTAGTTCTCATCGTAAAGATCTTTCACCTCACTGGTTAGCTGTACTCCTAGGCATTTAATTATTTTTGTGGCTATTGTGAATGGGATTATGTTACTGATTTGGCTCTCAGCTTGGACATTGTTGGTGTATATGATTGCTATTGATTGTTGTACATTGATTTCATACCCTGAAACTTTGGTGAAGTTACCAGGTCAAGGAGCTTTTGGGCCAAGGCTATGAGGTTTTCTATGTATTGAATTATATTATCTGCAAACAGAGATAGTTCGACTTCCTGTTTTCCTATTTGGATGCCCTTTATTTCTTTCTCTTGCCTGATTGCTCTGGCTAGGACTTCCAGTACTATGTTAAATAGGAGTGGTGAGAGAGGGCATCCTTGTCTTCTGGGTTTTGAGGGAATGCTTCCAGCTTTTGCTTGTTAAGTGTGATGTTGGTTATGGATTTTTCTTAGATGGCTCTTATTATTTTGAAGAATGTTCCTTCAATACCTAGTTTGTTGAGAGTTTTTAACATGATGAGTTTTACTGAAAACTTTTTCTGCATCTATTGAGATGATCATGTGGTTTTTGTTTTTAGTTCTGTTTCTGTAATAAATCACATTTATTGATTTGCATATATTGAACCAACCTTACATTCTAGTGATAAAGCCTGATTGATCATGGTGGGTTAGCTTTGTGATATGCTGCTGGATTCAGTTTGCTAGTATTTTGTTGAATGTTTTTGCATCTATCTTCATCAAGGATATTGGCCTAACGTTTTCTTTTTTTGTTGTTGTTGTGTCTGTGCCAAGGTTTTCGTATCAGAATGATGCTGGCCTCATAGAATGATTTAGGGAGAAAACCTTCCTCCTCAATTTTTTGGAATAGTTTCAGTAGGAATGCTATCAGATCATCTTTATACATCTGGTAGAATTTGGCTATGACTCCGTCTGGTCCTGGGCTTTTTTTTTTTTTTTTTTTTTTTTTTTTGGTTGGGAGACCTTTTATTACGATTCAGTTTTGGAAGTCATTATTGGTCTTTTCAAGTATTCAGGAAATCCCTGGTTTTCTGACTAGTTCAGTCTTAGGAAGTTGCATACAACCAGAGATTTAACCATTTCTTGTAGGTTTTCTAGTTTGTGTGCATACAAATGCTCATAGTAGTCGCTGAGGGGTTTTTTGTATTTCTTTTGTGCCAGTGGCATCATCTGCTTTGTCATTTCTGATTGTGTTTATTTGAATCTTCTTTTTTATTAGTCTAGCTAGTAGTCTATATATATTATTAAACTTTTTCAAATAACCATCTCCTGGATTTCAGATCTTTCGTACGGTTTTTTTATATCCCAGTTTCCTTCAATTCAGGTCTGATTTTGGTTATTTCTTGTCTTCTTCTAGCTTTGGGGTTGATTTGCTCTTGTTTCTCTAGTTCTTCTAGTTGTGATGTTAGGTGGTCAATTTGACCTCTTTCTAACTTTTTTTGTCCTTTGAGAGGGAGTCTCACTCTGCCACCCAGGCTGGAGTGCAGTGGTACAATCTTGGCTCACTGCCTTCTCCACCTCCTGGTTTTAAGAGATTTTCCTCCTTCAGCCTCCTGAGAAGCTGAGATTACAGATGCCCATCACCACACCTGGCTAATTTTTATATTTTAGTAGAGATAGGGTTTCACCTTGTTGGTCAGTCTGGTCTTGAACTCCCGACCTCAAAGAATCTGCCTTGGCCTCCCAAAGTGCTGGGATTACAGGCTTGAGCCACCGCACCTGGCCCTCTTTTTAACTTTTTGATGTGGGTATTTAGTGCTATAAATTTTCCTCTTAACACTTTCTTAGCTGTGTCCCAGAGATTCTGGTATGTTGTATCTTTGTTCTCATTAGTTTTAAAGAAATTCTTGTTTTTCACCTTAATTTTATTATTTATCCAAAAATCATTCAGGAGCAGGTTGTTTAATTTTCATGTTGTTGTATGGTTTTGAGTGATTTTTCTTAGTATTAATTTCTATCACACTGTGGTTTGAGAGTATGGTTGGTATGATTTTTGTATTTTTGAATTTGCTGTGGATTGTTATGTCCAATTGTGTGATTGATTTTAGGGTATGTGCCATGTGGCGATAAGAAGAATGTATATTCTGTTGTTTGGAGGGGGGATAGAGAGTTCTGTAGATATCTATTAGGTCCATTTGGTCACATGTTGAGTTCAGGGCCTGAATATCTTTGTTAACTTTTGGCCTCAGTGATGTGTCTCATACTGTCAGTAGGGTGTTAAAGTCTCTGGTAGTATTTTTAAGAGAATGCATTCTTCTCAATGGAAATGACTGTTCTCTTTCTCTTGAATTTGCCTCTTTACTGTTTGATATGCTGTCCCTTACTTCAGTGCCATGTCATTAGCCCAGTAGTGCCAGTTATAAACAGCTCACATTATGAATTAAGCATCTTTCAGTTTTTGGAAGTGCCATCAACCTTCTTGTATTCAAAATTAATAGTATTAGAGACTTTTGTAAATTCTGATCAATCTGTTTTTCTTGAACATTCAAATTGCTATTGAGCAAAATGTTGCTAATTCCGTACTTTCTTGGATGGATCTAAGTATTAAAAAGCTATTTGAAATTCTCTTAACTAATGTGTAGCAGTGTGCTAAAGGTAAGTTGGCTTGTTTTGGTGGAAATATAGTTTTCATTTTGGAAGAAGTCTGTTGCTTTGTTATTCTTTTAAAACATGTTTATCAAGCACGAGTTTTAGGGCAAAAATGACTTATTTCTTATAAAGCCATCTGAGATTCAAACCATGGATTGTCTTCAGTCTGCTTAGATTACCTTAACTGCTTATGGTTCCATAGGAGTTGATGTTTGGCTCCTCTGTTCCTCAACTGGTAGATTCATTTTTTTTTTTTCAACTATTTCTTGATTGCCTACTTTGTGCCAGGTTACATGGTGAGGCTATAGCAATGATCAAAACAAGCTTCCTTGCTCTCATGAAACTTGCAGTGTGTAGTGATAGGGTGAAAGACAACAATCAAATACATTATATTGGTTGCTGATATATGCTATGGTGGAAAAAAGAAAGCATTATAAAGTGATGGAGTGTGACCGGGAGAGAGGGCTGCTGTTTTAGAGACCTAGAAAGGTCTCTCTGATGAGGTGACATTTGGGCAGAGACCTGAAGGAAGTAAGAGAAAGAACTACATGGACATCTTAAAGGAAAATGTACCAGGTAAAAGGAAGGTAAAAGTGTACTAGGAGAGTTCAAGAGGTAATGTGATATGCAAAATCTTTATTTTTGATTTTGGTCTTGTGCTAGTGCTAAATGTAGCAACCTTTTATTGCAAATATCTTTGGAGTACCTATGGGTAGTCAGCCTTTTTCAGTCCAGAAGCACATTAGGCATTCTCTGGAACTTGCAAAGAGGACTATGAAGAGTGTAGATATGGACCAAGATTCAGATTCTTTACCAAAAAAAGCTTTCCTTTCTTTAGCAAAACTGGGATAGATTTTTTTTTTTAATGAAAAGAAAACATTGTAACAGGTTTCATAAAAAACAGTATTATCAACTAAACCCCATTTGTTTTGGGGACATTCTAATTATGTACCTAAGAATTACAATTATCTGTCATGTGATTTTAAAGTACCATAGTGAAATAAAAGTAGATTGTTGCTTCTTTTGTATTAATGAAAGTTAAGGCTAAATTACACACTAGTCAATCCGAGTTGTATTTTTTTTTAAATTTACTCATTAGTGAAAATGAGTAGTTTTCAAAGAGAGTGTGTTGTTATATGCCACGGACTAGTCCTCTCTTTTGAAAATAAAAAGGAATGCAACACCTTTTTTGTACTTTTTAATTCAGTGGAATATCTTTACTGAGCTTAAATCTTTGTTTATAGAAAGTATGTTGGAAGTGTCTTTCAACTTCATGGAGAATGTTGCATCCATTATCATTTGCTTTGTCTCTCCTGCTGCCAGAGTTGTTGTCCCCTCCTCTGGGCTTCCCCAGCTCCTTGTGCACCTCTCATTCTGCCTCTCCATCTAGAATTTGACCTCTTTGGTGACAGGGAATAAGTCATCTTTGTCCCTAGTACTTGTCATTTAGTAGACACTCAGTAAATGTCCTGCAGTCAATTAGTGAAGTAACTAATGCGCTATTGAAGTCATCCCTAGCCTTTTAGAGTCAATCTCCATTATGATAGTAATTATTTTTCATAGCCATTGATTGAAAATACATTACTTTGTTAATTTGTGTCATAGTTAAATGCATTTTATTAATTAAGGGACATTTATACATGTGAAAAACACATAGAAGTATGGGGAATTATTTATTCAGGCCACAGAAAATGTTTGTATGACAGTCTTTAGCACTGTGTAGATAAATACTGAAGTAAATACTTTTGTCAGAATAAGGTTCATAGAATAAATTTTTCAATAAAGGAAGATATATAATATCAGAGCAGGACTTTAGAAATGTTACAGCTTTCTACCTGTACTCATTTATTTATTCATCTAGTATTAATTGAATGCTTTTTGTATACCAGATTCTGTTATAGGAGCTTAAGATTCTCCTAGTTCTCCAGTCAAAGACCACCAGGACCGCACTGGGAGTTGATCAGATTAGGTTTATTTCTCAGTCAGGGAGGAATAACACACTCCATGAGGAACTATAGGGCTTCTCAGGAAGAGGATGTTAGAAAATACACAATTTGGACTTGAAAATGCTAACCAAAAATACGTAAAATGTTAACCAAAACAATGGTGACACAGGCTGGCTGCTGCCTATATTTAGTTTCTGTAAGGATTCTTCACTTAATGGTCTTTGCTGAAGTAACTCCTGAATAACTAGTTTTAGCTACTAAATAATCTTTTGAAAAGTTATTAACGTCTATTAGAAACGCAGCTTATAGCGTGTGAACATTCTAAATTAGATTCTGTTTAAGGGGAGGTATATTAATGTGACACATCACAATATGTTAGATTCTTTTTTGTAGTTACTAGGCAGTGATCTTATTTACAGTTTCCTTTGCCACCACCAAAAGCATGACAGAAAACTTTCTTATTTTAGCTAGTAAGTTTTCCACATACATAAATATCATCTTGTAGATGATTGTTATATGAAATTTCTTTCTTTCCTCTGTTTTTTATTATAGCCACTGTATGATGCTGCTTACCTTACAATGTATAATATCTGCTTCACATCCCTGCCTATCCTAGCCTATAGTCTACTGGAACAGCACATCAACGTTGACACCCTGACCTCAGATCCCCGATTGTATATGTAAGTTAAATATTTAGTTAAAACCCCCTAAGACTTTCAAAGTTGTGGTTTTCATTTCACCTGCAGGTGAGAAGAACACAGAACTATGTACTTGGTTTTTGGTTTGATTATGTGGTTCTGTTTGGAATTTTTAGCTATTGAAAATGACAACAGGAAAATGACATATTTCCTAGGTGTGGGTTCTGTGCTTGAAACTGTGTGAAACATTTAGTTCAGAGTCACTCATTTCTAAAACTTAAACCTACGATGTCATAATGTTCTGGTGTCTCATGGGAAGACATGATATTTTAACTCCAAAATAAAAAAAAGCACACACAAAGATCTTCCGTAGTTTAGAATATTGATTCCTACTTGTTGCAGATTGAATGATGAAGTTATATTACCCTTTCTCATGTAAACTGCACCTACAGCATTAGCCACCCCATACCCCACCTTTGTTAACCCCATTCTAAAACTGTTTTGTTGAAGAAAATAATGAACTCATAAGCCACTGTATTCATTTTGTGTCAGTTGAAATAGATGCTTTTCTCTGTGGACGGGGGACTTAGCACTAGCCCCAGTTGCTTAACTTATGATTTAATTGGTTTTTTAGATTATAGCCTACAGCTGAGGATAAAGATGTTAATTTACAGCAGATTGTAAGCATTGCTAAATTGTAGGTAACAAAGGCAATAGAGAGGTTTGGATGATTTATTTGTATGAAATGAAGATGCACAAATTTAAGGGATTTTTTTAAACCAGCATGACTCATAAAAGTTACATTTAGCAATTGTTAGAATTATACAGAGTTATAAAATTTATCATTTTAAAGGTCTTCATTAAGGAAAATTTCAGACATACATAAAAGTAGAGAGAATGCTATTTATATAATGAATGAATGTAAATAGTTGTGGAACCACTCAGTTTGTCTTAACCACTCAGCTTCAACAACTCTCAACTCCTTGACATTCCTGTTCGACTAATAACCCTATCTGCTCTATCAAAGGCTTATTTTGAAGCAAATCTCAAACATTATATAAAAGTTATTTCACTATGCATCTTTTAAAGATAAGGATTTTTAAAGATGGTAATACCCTATCACTTAACAAGTCCTTAATATCAAATAGCCAGGCAGTGTTCACATTTCTCCAGTTGACTCACTTTTTTTCATAGCATGCTTATTTGAATCAGGATCCAAAGAAGGTCCACACATTGCAATTGGTTTATATACTTTCTGAGCCTCTTTTAATCTGTAAGTTAACCCTGCAATTTATTTGTGGACAAAACCAGATTATTTATGTTGTAAAATTTCTCCCAGTCTAGAGTTTGCTGATTATCTCCGCATTGTGTTTACACGTTCTGCTGATCCCTGCATTTGTTGTAAATGCGTAATTAGATCTAGAGGAGAATCGTTAGAACTTTGGTAGAAATCTTATAAGCATCAGCTCCTGCTATTCTCTTTTTGAAAATGAAGAACCAAGGCCCAGAAATGACTTACCTAAGGACACAGGATACAACCAGATGCAAAATGAAGATCAGAATTCAGTCCTCTTTCCAGTGCTTTTTCCAGCAGGCCAGTGGTTTTAAAACATTGTTTTAACTACAGTTGTTTCCAGACAACTTCTAAAGTGAAGCCCAATAGTGCAGTTGCTCTGGTGAAGTGGGATTTGAGGGGTAGTAGGCAGATTTCCTCCTATTCAGTCCCACCAAGAGCTCAAACTAACACCTGGGCTGAAATCCTCTGCTACTTAACCATGTGACCTTATGCAGGTTACTTGACTGCAGTGTGCCTCAGTTTCATCTTCAGTAATATATGGGCAACAGTAGCACCTAATCACAATGGTTTTATGAGGAATAAATGAGTCACTATATACAAAATAGCTAAAAAACGCCTGACAAGTTTTCAGGCAACGATAGCTATTAATCTTATTATTCTAACACCCTCCTCCAGCCCTTAGAGCTGTGCTGAGCATTTGTATAAATTAAGAATGTCAAAAATCTGCAAAAAGCTGTTGAGTAAAATATATCATAAGGGTTTTCATAAAGTTTTATTGACTGTGCTTTAGGTGTAGGTCATGATTTACTGAATTTTGCATAGACTTGCCACATCTGAGGCAAAAATAAAGTCCATGGCATACCTATTGCCCAGTCCAAAGTGCCACTTTCCTCTTTGACCTCATGCTTATAAGTAGTGAATGCCTTCTTTGACAAGACATTGCTCTTGGCCTGTCACCAGACTCTAGATTGCTTCATTACTCTGACTATTCCTTTGTGAACATGAAGCCCTGGTCTTCCTCTATGGCTCTCTGTACAGCATGCCACTTAATATTAGCAGTGACATTGTGTAGCGTATTATAGATTTTACCTTTGGTGATTTAGTAACTTGGATATTTCCAAACACTTTGATGTGAAACAAAACATAATTGGATGTTTTCATATTTTTAAGAAAAATGTAAAAAATAAACTGGTTTTTCTATAGAGGGAGCAGGTGTAATTTGTTTCTTCTACAGCGTTGAAAGGCAAACGAAAGGATTCTGGTATACCTGCTGCCTACCATAATATGGAGGTGCTCAGGCCTGTGCTGCTCATCAACCTCTCCCCAGATCTTGATTCTCTCTCATGCTCCCCTTCATGTTGATTGCCCCATTCTTGAGTTTTTGACAGTTTCTTCATTCGAGTGCAGCTAGAAAGCCCAACCTATAATTCAACGTATCATGCTTCTCCTGCTCTTTTCCCCCACTGAATGTGATGTAACTTCTGTCGATGACCTGTAAAGACAGGGACCACTTCCTGCTTCTGCCCTTTCTTCCTCAGCCCAGGTTAGTGACTGTCAAAAGCCACATTGGCTGGCAGTTGTTGGGCAGTGCCTGCAAGGATCTTTACAGAGGTGCCTTCCCTTTGGCTTCCTAGTTGTCTTGGAAACATGACTTACTGGCTGTAGGGAGAGCTTGTTTCTGGGAAGCAGCTACCACTTTCTGCCATTTTTCTAGGACAGACAGCATACCCTGAATTTCAGATCGCTGCATGCACCTGGAAATCCTAGTAGGCAAAAGTTGCATAATTGCCATGTGTTCACGAAACCCCACAGCACTGAATACCAACTCAACAAGGATCAGTTGCATTTACATTACAACGGTGTTTCTTACTTGATACAGCCCAGTGACATTCTTGGTGGTATTACAAACAAGTATGTTATTTGAGTAATTAGATATCATTTATTAAATGTTAAGAGCAATTTGAAATAGAATCCAAAAGAAACACATGCACAGACCCATCTTTTTCTGCAGCTCTGCTCCATTAGAATTGGTAGTCGTATTTAGCAGTCTGACTTGTGCTGTTTTTGACAGATTTAAAGTTAATCTGTCCACCTGCCATTTATCAGAGTATCATTATAAAACTCCAAACATGTTATTTGACTTGATGGAAAAATATAAAGGGCACCATAAGACCTTAAAAAAAGGTTAAATTTCCAGGAATAAATCTTGATTAAAAGAAATATCTTAATTGTTCTTGGAAAGCTTCGTAGCTTGATTGAGAACATATGCTCTGGTCAAGTCAATCCAAGATTGTATATTAGCTCTGTCTCTAACCAAGTGAACTTTGGCATTGCTACTACACTAGTGGTTCCCAAACTATACTGCACATTGAAATCAACTGGAGGGCTTTAAAAATATCCTGACCTCCATGTTACACCTTATGCCAATTAAATCAGAATGAAGATGGGAGCCAGGCATTAGTAGTTTTTAACAATCCTCAGGGGATTCCAAAGTGCATCAAAGTTTGGGAACCATTGTGTTAAACCTTTCTGAGGCTCCTTATTATTTGTAAATCTGAGTGATAATAATACCTATCTCATGTAGTTTTTATGTGGATAAAAATAGTTAATGTCTGTAAAACTCTTAGCCCAATTCCTGGCATGTTAGAACCATTAATCGAAGGAAATTATTGATGTTATTGTTGTAAGCAGCCAGAAATTTAGAAGAGTTTAGAGAGTTTACTCCAGTGGCTGAGTCAGGAGGTGACTGCATGAAGGTCAGCCTTTGGCTCAGTCTGACCCTTTACCAAAAATCTGTCAGGCCATTAAGGGTAGCCCCTTACATTATAGCAGGGCCAAACCCCATGCCCACCTTTGACATTTTGACATTTCAGTGTATGTTTAAATGAAAAGTTTCACTAATGTTTTTTTCCCCCATTTCTCAATAGGAAAATTTCCGGCAATGCCATGCTACAGTTGAGCCCCTTCTTATATTGGACATTTCTGGCTGCCTTTGAAGGGACAGTGTTCTTCTTTGGGACTTACTTTCTTTTTCAGACTGCATCCCTAGAAGAAAATGGAAAGGTAAAAAGAACCTATCATTACATCTTTTAGTATTATAAGTATGGCTTATCTTTTTCCCACAGGCACTGGATTTGTCATATACGTACTCTAGCGGTAATCATTTTACAAACTTTTTCTGAAGATACAGTAGTTAGTTCTCACAGCTTGTTTAGAACAATAGAAGTGAAATAAGAAATCACTTTCTGTGTGCATGGCTAGCTAGAGAGCTTATCTGCAAACTTTCTGGAACCTTAACTTGGCTGTAATTTTTACTAGATTAACAGAGTTCTTGGGACTTCAGACTCCTGCTCTTTGACATGAGAAAGGTTTTTCCCGTTTTAAAGTAAAGCCTGGCCACACTCAGTTCTTATTCACGGTGGCCTTCCATGCTTGGAGCTAAAGTGGGTAGCTGCCATATATTTGGAGTGTTTGCCCAATAGGTGAAGAGGGGAATTCTCTTCTCTCCTTCCTTCTCTTCCCAATGGAAGCACAGTATTCTCCAGAAAGGCTACTCTGGTCCTGCCAGTGTCTTCCCAGCTCATGACTATCTCATTCAGCAGCTGCACTGGGGTAATTTTGCCCTGTCTATACTCTAAGAGAAAATTAGTGATGGGGGACAGATGAGGCCTTCCTCCTGCAGCCACACAATAGGAAATCAAAAACACTACCTTGCATACTGCTTCACTATGTTCTCCTTTGCTATTTCTGAGATTCTTCATTTATGGTTGTTCATTCTTTATAATCATAGTGTGAAGCAAAGCTAAGGTTCAAAAAGAATTTACTGAGTACATTATGTCCTGTTACAGAAAAATAGGTTCAGTAAATTTGAATGGTACTTTAAAATTAGGCACTGCAATCAAAACCTCTCTTAATTTGGACAAAAATTAGTTTAATATGAGTCCATGAAAATTATTAATCACAAAGTACTTGTTGGGGAAACACAGATCTACTTTAAAGTAGTCACATGTAGCACTTGCCAAAGAGAGTGTCCTGCCAAATCCTGTGAGCCCTTGGGAAAATTATATCAGTTTTTCAGGTCAGCTTTGCCCACCAGTAAGAAGAATTGATTTGATTTGGTGATTTTCTGGCCTCTTGAGGTTTATAACTGATTGTGCAAATTCACTTTTCATTTTGGTTTTAATGGGCAGACAGATTTTATATAGCTGGCTACTGCTTAAAAGGAGTTTGCCCCATAGTAGCAGATACTCTCCTATAATTGATATGATTCATTTGCTCAGCAAACTTTCCAGGTGGTGCCTGAGAACATCAACTCAGCATCTGTTTAATTCGTTACCCATTTTGAGTTCACAAAGTCCAAATTAATAAGGTTTTACTATATATGTCACCATCCCTCTAAATGTTTGCTAAAATTGCAGTAAGTATATGAATTACTATTAGCAAGAAAAAAAAAACACTCATGTATGATTTGAGTGAATCCTTTTTTTGCTTCTATTAATCTTAATTTTTGTTTTTATTTTTTAAAAACCTTTTACATCTCATTTTCTGTTTTAATGTTATGCATTCAGATCTTCACAACATTTGGTAAGCATATGTGCCATTCATTGCCATCATTTGGATTTATACATGGTATCTGCTTTTCTTTGATGTGCACATGCTGACAGCTCTTGTATTTACAACCATAAAAAAAGACTCATTTAAAAAAATGTAAATTCATTTGTCTACAAATTATTGCCCATTTGAGAGGTTTAGTTCTACATCGTAGGAAAATCCCATATCAAATTCTTTAGAGACATGAATCATTCAAATGAGTTGTTTTGATGAACATTGCTGTTAGTAGAGTATTTGCTTTCTTTGCCCTTTGTCACACCAGCGAGTTCCCTGTTTAATGCTGCTTGGAGTAATAGAAGTAAACCCTGCCAACCACAGCTGGGATGTATCTGTTCGTGAAAATTTAGGATCACAGGAAAATCTGGCATTGTGGCCTGATCTTATTGACTAGCTGTTTCCTTAAACAATTCGTACAAAAATCTTTGGCAGTTATACACAAGATTAAACTTGGCTCTTTTTTTTTAATAAAAAAATACTAAGATAACACTTGCATGTACATGGTACATGTAATTATTAAATGTTTTTCAGGTATACGGAAACTGGACTTTCGGAACCATTGTTTTTACAGTCTTGGTTTTCACTGTAACTCTGAAGGTTAGATTTTTACTTATTCACATATATTTAACACTGTTTCTGTAATACTTTCTTGTCTTATCCCAATATACCATTTCTTTGTCTCCTAATCTTTATTTTTGTTATGGGTTGTTATTAAAGTCTTTGTCTTAATACTTACTAAAATGTGTATGATGTTAGGGATTTAGGTATTTGTATACTATTTTTGATTAATTTTTTTCCAGTATATTGTCATCTTCTTTATTTTGTTTTACTTAAAAAAATTCAAATATCATACTTATGGTGAAAATCTGTTTATTTACTGCTATTTTAAGTGGCGTATAAACAGGTTGTGGGTGAGAGAGAGTGTGTGTGCTTGCGTGCGTGCATGTGTGTGTGTTTTTATGTTAAGTACTCGAATCTTCTAAAAATTATACATCTGTTTAAGAACCCCAGGCCTAAAATAGGTATATATGAGCAAGATATATGTGAAAAAGGGCTTGATAGTAGTAACATTTTATAAAATGTATTCATCACTGATGGCGGGATGTGGTGGCTCATGCCTGTAATCCCAGCACTCTCGGAGACCAAGGTGGGCAGATCACTTGAGGCCAGGAGTTCAAGACTAGCCTGGGCAACATAGTGAAACTCTGTCTCTATTTGTATTTTTTAAATTTAAAAATAAATGTAGAAAAATTAAAAAATGTATAAATTGAATTCATCACTAAAATTTACCCATGTTAGTGATAAAGTACCTAAGAATGTAATGCAGGTAAACAAAAGAAAGGTAATTTTGGCAAAATCATTGGCACTGACATACAGCCATGTGATAATGCTGTGAAACCTCACTGATTGCTACCCTTGATGTCCATGATTTGGGAGTCTCTTATAGTTGAAAGCATAATCAAATTATTTTTATCATTCCAATAATAAACACCTCACGTGGGGTCCATGAGTAAATACCTTTAAATTAATTCCAGCATGCCCAGGGGTTAGAACCAGAATTCAGAAATATAATTGTCAAAGGATCTCTCTCAACTTTCCCTCTTAATTTTTTTTTCATGGTTTATTTCATGGAATAAAGCTAACATATGTTTGCTTTATTCATCTATTTCAGTAATATTTTAGGACCTTAAAAGGACATGTTACAGTTCATCTCAGGATAGGCACTTACTAGCTATGTGTCCTTGGGCAAGTGACTTTAACCTCTCTGTGCCTCAGTTTCCTCTTCTATAAAATTGAGATAAAAGTAGCACCTATCCTTCTTAGGGTTTTTTGAGGAGTCAATTAGCAAATACATACTAAACCCTTAGGATGGTGCTCATTACAATAAGTGCTAGTTTTCAGTTTTTATGTCTCACAGTATCACAATTTGAAATGGACACCTCTCTCCTCCTTTTTTCCCCTGTCCTTGCGTATAGCCTAAGGGCCTCCAAATGGCCTTCACAGTGTTTTTCCAGTGTATCTCAAAGACTTACACTCCCTTCTCTTTGGACGAATATTAGTATTATCTTTGGATTCATATTAGTATTTTCCCTAGCAAGCAGAAGAGTAGCAATTCAAGACTGAGCTACATTAACAATGTTATCAACATCCTGTTTATAAATGAGAAACTATAACAGAGAGCTGATGTCCATGGTGTCATCGCAAGTAACAAAACTAAGACACCATATCCTCTGTGAAAATTAGCTACTCTGGGTATTAGCTCATGTGACCCAGAAGTTTCAAGCAAGTGCAGTAGACCATACTTTTGTTTTTAGATCACATTTGAAAACCCAGATGCCACAATCTGAAAACATGATTATTCCTGGCAGAAATGTGAAGAAATTAAAATCTAACTGAACATTTTATTAATTTAATGGAATAGATACAGGTTTTGCAATTGGAAAGATACACTACGTAGTCACACCCATGATTCATTGCTGTATGATGTTAGGTGTATAGAGCCTTTGTATTTAGTGACTCTTGTCTGTTGTGTTTGAGCTTTCATAACACCTTTGAAAATTTTGTAGTTTGTCTACCCTTCGTAGGTACGTGTTCCATCTCCTACTTCTTTTTAGCATATCTGCCTCCACCAGCTAGGCCTCCTTTTGCCATCATCTTCCTGGCTTCCATTGCATAAGGACTTGGAATTTGGGCCTCCTAGATATTACCATTACTTCATTCCTTATCCATTGCCCAGTACTGAGATATCTGCAGTCTTATACCTACTAGCTACTTAGCCTGATCACACCTCCAGCCTGTACTCCAGAGTTTAGAAGGCTTAGGGCAGAGCTCAACTTTCTCACACTTGTTTTTTGAAAAACATGGATTCTGTTTAGTTCCACTCTCCTCTGGATCCCTGGCCCAAATTAGATCCTCCCATAGGTATCATTGTGTACTAGTTTTCAGATACTGTGGCATATTGCCTGGTGCAATTTGTAACCATCATGAAATCTTTTGTATCTTTTCAGCTTGCCTTGGATACCCGATTCTGGACATGGATAAATCACTTTGTGATTTGGGGTTCTTTAGCCTTCTATGTATTTTTCTCATTCTTTTGGGGAGGAATTATTTGGTAAGTAATTGTACATGTGTGAGCAATGTACACTATATATATAAGCATTCATTATACTTTTCAAGTTTTGATTATATAAGATGGCAGATCTTTAATATTAATGGACTGAAGGTTACTTGTTAGCTGGTAATGCTACTGATTTCAGGTAAGATTTTGAATAGCAGTATATACACTGCACGAATCACTCAGAAGACCTCCCTTTGGTAACCCCTGTCCAACTCTTTCTAGTTGAAGGTGTGTAAACATCTCTCCAGTGAAACTAGTTTTTAGCATACCTCTCATGATTTTCAGAGGAAATACTCATCCTGTGAAGTTTTTACCTGATATATTCGCCAACAGATACATTATTGTCCATTTGGACCCTGTTTCCTCTTTATAGTGTATAACTGTCATTCATGTTACTACAGGTATGCTCAAGGTATAGAATATATACTACTTAATACTCAGAGGGTTGTATTTTGTTGTTTTTTGTTTGTTTGTCTGTTTTTTTACCTTTTTAAAAAATTGCATTTTAGGTTTTGGGGTACATGTGAAGAACATGCAAGATTGTTGCATAGGTACACACATGGCAGTGTGATTTGCTGCCTTCCTCCCCTTCACCTATATCTGGCATTTCTCCCCATGCTATCTCTCCCCACCTCCCCACTCTCTATCCCTCCCCCATTTCCCCCCAACAGACCCCAGTGTGTAGTGCTGCCCTCCCTGTGTCCATGTGTTCTCATTGTTCAACACCCACCTATGAGTGAGAACATGCGGTGTTTGGTTTTCTGCTCTTGTGTCAGTTTGCTGAGAATGATGGTTTCCAGGTTCATCCATGTCCCTACAAAGGACACGAACTAATCATTTTTGATGGCTGCATAATATTCCATGGTGTATATGTACCACATTTTCCCTGTCCAGTCTATCATCGATGGGCATTTGGGTTGGTTCCAGGTCTTTGCTATTGTAAACAGTGCTGCAATGAACATTCGTGTGCATGTGTCCTTATAGTAGAATGATTTATAATCCTTTGGATATATACCCAGTAATGGGATTGGTGGGTCAAATGGAATTTCTATTTCTAGGTCCTTAAGGAATTGCCACACTGTCTTCCACAATGGTTGAACTAATTTACACTCTCACCAACAGTGTAAAAGTGTTCCTGTTTCTCCACATCCTCTCCAGCATCTGTTGTCTCCAGATTTTTTAATGATCGCTATTCTAACTGGCGTGAGATGGTATCTCAGTGTAGTTTTGATTTGCATTTCTCTAATGACCAGTGATGATGAGCATTTTTTCATATGTTTGTTGGCCTCATGTATGTCTTCTTTTGTAAAGTGTGTGTTCATATCCTTCGCCCACTTTTGAATGGGCTTGTTTGTTTTTTTCTTGTAGATCTGTTTTAGTTCTTTGTAAATTCTGGATATCAGCCCTTTGTCAGATGGGTAGACTGCAAAAAATTTTTCCCATTCTGTTGGTTGCCAATTCACTCTAATGACTGTTTCTTTTGCCATGCAGAAGCTGTGGAGTTTGATTAGGTCCCATTTGTCTATTTTGGCTTTTGTTGCCAATGCTTTTGGTGTTTTGGTCATGAAGTCCTTGCCTACGCCTATGTCCTGAATGGTTTTGCCTATATTTTCTTCTAGGGTTTTTATGGTGCTAGGTCTTATGTTTAAGTCTTTAATCCATCTGGAGTTAATTTTAGTGTAAGGTGTCAGGAAGGGGTCCAGTTTCTGCTTTCTGCACATGGCTAGCCAGTTTTCCCAACACCATTTGTTAAACAGGGAATCCTTTCCCCATTGCTTGTTTTTTTCAGGTGTGTCAAAGATCGGATGGTTGTAGATATGTTGTGATGCCTCTGAGACCTCTGTTCTGTTCCATTGGTCTATATCTCCGTTTTGGTACCAGTACCATGCTGTTTTAATTACTGTAGCCTTGTAGTATAGTTAGAAGTCCGGTAGTGTGATGCCTCCTGCTTTGTTCTTTTTGCTTAGAATTGACTTGGCTATGCGGGCTTTCTTTTGGTTCCATATGAAGTTTAAGGTGGTTTTTTCCAGTTCTGTGAAGAAGGTCATTGGTAGCTTGATGGGAATAGCGTTGAATCTGTTAATTACTTTGGGCAGTATGGCCATATTCACGATATTGATTCTTCCTAACCATGAACATGGAATGTTTCTCCATCTGTTTGTGTCCTCTCTTATTTCGTTGAGCAGTGGCTTGTAGTTCTCCTTGAAGAGGTCCTTTACGTTACTTGTTAGTTGTATTCCTAGGTATTTTATTCTCTTTGTAGCAACTGTGAATGGCAGTTCGTTCTTGATTTGGCTCTCTTTAAGTCTGTTATTGGTGTATAGGAATGCTTGTGATTTTTGCACATTGATTTTGTATCATGAGACTCTGCTGAAGTTGCTTATCAGTTTCAGGAGATTTTGGGCTGAGACGATGGGCAGCTATTAAGAGCCTACCACCCAAAAAAAGCCCAGGTCCAGATGGGTTCACAGCCAAATTCTACCAGACATACAAAGAGGAGCTGGTACCATTCCTTCTGAAACTATTCCAAATAATCTAAAAAGAGGGAATCCTTCCCAAATCATTTTATGAGACAAACATCATCCTGATACCAAAACCCGACAGAGACTCAACAAGAAAAGAAAACTTCAGGCCAATATCGATGATGAACATAGATGCAAAAATCTTCAATAAAATACTGGCAAGCCGATTGCAACAGCACATCAAAAAGCTTATCCACCATGATCAAGTAGGCTTCATCCCGGGGATGCAAGGCTGGTTCAACATACGCACGTCTGTAAACATAAATCACCACATAAACAGAACCAAAGACAAAAACCACATGATTATCTCAATTGATGCAAAGAAGGCCTTTGATAAAATTCAACAGCCCTTTATGCTAAAAGTCCTCAGTAAACTAGGTATCGACGGAACGTATCTCAAAATAATAAAAGCTATTTACGACACACCAATAGCCAATATCATACTGAATGGGCAAAAACTGGAAGCATTCCCTTTGAAATCTGACACTAGACAAGGATGCCTGCTTTCACCACTCCTATTCAATATAGTACTGGAAGTTCCAGCCAGAGCAATCAGGCAAGAAAAAGAAATAAAGTGTATTCAAATAGGAGGAAGTCAAATTGTCTCTATTTGCAGACGACATGATTGTATATCTAGAGGGTTGTATTTTGAAATCACCATCTCACTGTTTTGGTTTGGGGTGGGAAGATGTAGAAAGGCAGATTCTGCAGCTTGTCCTTAAAGTTCATTTATTTCATCTTGGTTCAATAGATGTTTGTTCAGAATCAGTTTTGTGCTTGGGACTCTATGGGATAGAGAGATGACTAGACTGTACTCCAGAAGAGTAGAGTCCATTGAGGGACACACAAGCTGTGATTGGGGAAATTATATATTTGCATCTCCTTTCTTTACTCCCAAAAACCTATATTTGTTTTTAAATGTTTTTCGTTTTTAGTCATGGCTGCCTAAGACTTTAGACAAGGATGCCAGCAGTAGAGAGCATGGCCAGAGCAAGCCACAGGATAAGATTTCAAGAGTACATATTTTCATTGCTTTGAGCAAAATCTTACAAAATATTCTGTTTTATTACACAGATGTGAGGCCTATGTTTATGTCCCTTGAGTCTTAATTAGAAGAAACTTACTATTTTGAAAAGCTTTTCAAAAATAAAAACCTTAAGAAATAAAAATATGAGAAACCTAATCATTTATGGAAGTACCAGCTTTAAATTAAAGTATAATTACAGCATATATTTGGTTTCTCTAGGTAATTGAGAACAGTGAAGCTGAAAGAAGTCTCTATTTTCTTGGATAATATACAAATAAATCAAAGTTGATTAAGAACATACCATATACAATTGTATGTCTGCCCAGAGTACTGTAATTCTGTCTATGAATCTATGTAATCAGCATTTGAACTAATTATGCAAAATTTCTACAAGAATAAAATGTTTCTAGCAAACTCATTTCCAACTCTTTCCACAGTTTATTCCTTATTGATGAAAATAAATCCATTAAATAATTAAGGTATTGTCACACCTGTTTCTATTCATTAGTGATACTACAAATGAAATGTTAACCTATTTTTTATTTTATTGCCTGAAGTATTATTGTTAAGTAGAGTTGAGTTGAGCCACTACATGAACATAAACTTATAAAGCAACCAGTAAAATGTGACTAGAAACAATGTGAAACTTCAGCTGAATGTGGTCACAGTTAATGTATCTGGACATGTTCTACCCTGAGGCATTGAGTCACACCCCTCTTTGGGGTTGGGTAGTGAGAATGATGACTTCCCAGCCCCAAACCACATCCAGAAATAATAGTGTTTGTTTTTTACTGCCCTATGACAAAACTCCACAGACGACATGGAGGTTAAGAGAAAATACTGGAGACATTAGTCAGAGGGTATGATGCAAAGGAACAACCTGTGACTAGCTACCAGTTGTTACCTGGGCCCCTGTTATGACTCAGTTAACTGCCTAGAACATTATTCAAGGTGATCTTCAGAATTCAAGTGAGGTAGTCCTGCAGAAGGCTTTTCTGTATGGCAGGCATTTCCCAGAAAGCTTACGTAGCCCAGGCCTCATAAATTTTTCACCTCCCTGTTCTTTTATTCCACAATCTAGTTTTCATATAAGTAGAGCCACAAATTCAGTTTTATCATATTATATAAGGGTTCATGGACATTAATTTTTAAATGACAAATCAAATTATCTTCAACAAGCATGATGTGTCATCTTATAAACAGGAACCATAGTTATCTATCTAGAGTTCTTAATCCTAGGGCAATCTATTGTGCATCCTGTCCTTAAGTAGCAACTTCTTCCCCCTCACCTTTGAACAACAATAGCTTCACCTAGTGCGGCTCTCTGTGGTTCAGCTCAGACAAAAGGGAAGGGAAACAGGCCGTGCTTCTCAATGGCCACTTAACAATGAAGTGGATGACTTGGAATGAAATCTAACTTCAGAATAAGAGTTCCTCCTGGATTTCTGGATTCTAAGGCTTAATGTCCAATTAGCAATATTCTACTATGTATCAACCTATTTGGCACACACTGTTAATATATATTTGTAGATGACAATGGTAGATTCCTTCCATATGAGAGAGAGGATAAACTTTTACTGTCCTTTTTATATTTACATAGTGTTTTTATTGAGGGAGAGTTATAAAAATGTCTTAAATTTCTGAATACAGAACATAAACCCATCTCCTTCTTAATAAAACAGCTGAGGAAATAAAATGCTTGTCAGGATAAAAATGAACCATCATTTCTCTTGAATGCTTTTGAAATACCAGCATTTTCTAATGCACGTAAATAGTCACCAGTTGACAGCTTTAGAGTTGATTGCCTGATTGTTTTCAAGTCAAATGCATTTTATTATCTTTTTTCTCCTTTCATTATCATTTTTTTTTCAAACATTTGGTAAATGAAATTTGTTTACTACTTTTGGGATATTCTGGAGAAAATTATTAATATGTGTAAGGAAGTTTCTTTTTAAATACAAATGATGTTTCAATTCAACTTCTGTTTCATATGACAGGATTTGATTTGTTTTTCCATCATGTATTTTCTTTCTGCAGGCCTTTTCTCAAGCAACAGAGAATGTATTTTGTATTTGCTCAAATGCTGTCTTCTGTATCCACATGGTTGGCTATAATTCTTCTAATATTTATTAGCCTTTTCCCTGAGATTCTTCTGATAGTATTAAAGAATGTAAGACGAAGAAGTGCCCGGGTAAGAACTAAGTTTATCTTATAACCTGATTTTTGGAAGGGGCCTCAATATCTGCCATGAACTAAAAACCTGATTTAGAAAATTACATTAGTTACAGCATGTTAAACCCCTCCTTACAGGTTCATCACTTAATTTCCTCTTCTGCATAAAAAGTATAGTAAAAACTTCGTTATCCAATGCAGGTGGTAAGTAGATTCCTTAATAGTGTTCTGTGTGACCTTTAGCAATCCATATGGAGTATCTCATATGCTCCATATGGAATTTTAAAAGGAAAAATATGATTTCATAGCCTAGAATTTTCACACTAGGAATTTCCACACCAACATTTCCGCTTTAAACTTAGAAATTTCCCTGTGGGCTGTTTGCAGATTTTTTTTCAGTTGATAAACCAATTTGCTTCTTTCAGACCTTTCCCCTTCCTTTAATTATAGTGCTGCTTAATCTCTGTGTTGCTTCTAGCCCTGTCTGTCCAGCAGTATATTTGAACCAAAGAGAATTCCCTGGATGTGGTTTTTACATCCTTACACTCTGGAACACACTCATAAAAATTCAAGGTAGTTTTGTGAGTGTGTTTTTAGTTTTCCTATTAAATTGTAAATTTCCTATGGGAATGAGAAGTTATTTTCTTTGCTGCCTCATTATGATACCTTTTAATCATTTTTTTAAAAAGCCTTTAAAGCTCAATAGGGAGATGAGCATGGAAAATAAAACTTTTGGCAGATTTTGACCAACAGGCTAATTAAATATGTCATATCCCTGCCAACAGTAGCTGATTTTGTTAAACACAACTGTTTCTATCATATTGACATCAACTAGATCTCGTAGTACCTCCAAGGCAGTATTTCCAGGTAATATTCTAAGCTATGACTACCTGACCTATTTGATAAATTTGCCAACCCCAGTTTATCCACAAAACTTACATAATGATTTTGGTTTTGCCTATTGAATTGATAGAATCCAGTGGTTGATATTACATAGACATGGGGATCCGAAATGATTAGAGTAGGAAAACCTTCAGTGCTTAGAATTGCAAAAGAAGAGTTTCCCATTACAAGTCAGTGTCATCCCCAATCAAAACAAGAGAATTAACAGGGTACATTGATTCTTCATATGCAAGGCCAGTCAGTGTGTAGTTAGGTGGCCAGAATTGTCCTTAACTCCCTGCTTCTGCATGTCTTATGGGCTGGAACTGGACACAATAATGTTAGCTTAGTTAGACTGCTTCACTGTAGTCTGGGGTTTGGTTTTATGATGGAAAAGTGTCATTCAAATACCTGATTATGTCTTAATGTCGGTTGAACAGGGATAACAGGTTGATAGAACAGACTCCACCCAGAATGTCTCAAGTGGCAATTTGCATGAAACCAAATAAAATATGTTGCAATAAGAAATGATTTGGGGCTTTTTATAATAGAGAATTTTCCAGTGAAGGATTTCCAAGTTGCTCTTCCATCCTCCTTATTTGGGAGTACACTTTGGAGTGATCCTAAATGTGTCTTTTATTTGAGGTAATGGAGCTCATGTTAAATAACGGCTCACACCCAGCTACATGGTCTCAAGATGATAGAAAAATCTCAGAAAACAAAACCTTCAAACTTACCTTCTTCCTTATTAGGCCCTCTCTTTAAAAAGTTAGACATTGGCTGGAGGTGACTCTTACATAGACCACTAAATTGTGGGATACTACCAAGCAGTCACAGATAAAGACTTAGAACATTTTCTTTCCATACAGAATCTTAACTTCTATTGAAAGTATGGAGTTCTGGGACTGCATCCTTTTTTTACTTAGCAGCATAGACTGTTGCCAGGGGTTTAGCAGGAAATTTGTTATGGGTTATGTCCAGCATAGGAGGAATTCTAGTGTCTGTGCTATAGCTTGGCATGCTGATGTGCTAGAACAACCAGGAAAATTTCCATAATCATTTTCATTCATGCAATCATTCATTCATTTATTCCTACCCTTGTTGAACCAATAAACATTTATTGAACCACCTACTGATGAACATCTCTCTTTACATCCAGTGTCTGAAAGGCTAAATGGTTTTTCAGACTCTGCGGGATTTCGAGAGTTGAGACAAAATGTTGTGGGCACTCAGCAGCGCTGCCTCTTTTTTTTTTTCTTGTGAAAAAAGTGCAAGAGCAAAATAGTGCAATATGAATGCATAAAGGCCTATTGCAACATGGCAGCCACAGATATTCTGTTTACATAAGGCCCTGTTTGGCTATATCAAAGAGGCAGAGGCCAAATTCTAAGATAAAGGAGAAAGAGTATGTTACTTTCCCCCAAATATTTTAGTCTTTATGCTCAGTGACTAACAGTCTGGCATTCTGTGTGATTTCCTACTTTGTTCAATATTCCTTGCTAAGACATTGGCCTCATTTTAAAGAAAGGCAAAAGATACTGGATCTGCCCCATATCCTGATAGATCCCCCTAATGGGGTAAAGTGTATGTCTCTACCTAGAATAGAAGATATCCCTGACTTCAACCAATAAGCATCATGGATACTTTATACGTAGCCAGAAATGCGGCAGGTCAGCTGCCAGTGCTATTCTTTTATGGGTCTTGGCGACTGCTTTTAGAAGGGGACTTAGCAGTGTGTAGTGAAAATGTCTTTATAGCATTTAAGAAAGAAGCTAACCTATTTATATTTAACAATTATAACAATTCTGTTCAATTCAGCATAACTTGCATGAGTTAGCTAGTATACTAAGTGTTGTTAATTCAGGGATGAATCAGATGTGGCCCTAGCTCACAAGGGAGCTCTCATTCTAGTTAAGTTATAAGGAGCATTCATATGGAATCCTTCTGTAAGCAGGTGTTAACAGAATAGCAGAATCAATGATATGGCTTGTCTTAACACAATTGAGCTATTGCAAGTCACTACGTCCTGAAGCTTCCAGTAAAATCGCTAGTATGGCAGCCTCCACGGCAACTGAGTTCTGTTATAATGCTAGTATTACAAAGAATTACACTATCTTCAAAAATAGGTTCTCTCAGCTGTGTAACTCAGTTGTAGTTAAGCCATGTATCCATCAGCTGTATTTTTAGCAATGAGTTTAATTTTTTCCAAAGTTTCATTATTAAGAATCCTAGAGCTTTTCTTTAGCTTTATCAAGTGGCAAAGCTGCATAGCAGTGCTGCTCATGGTATATGATGAAACTATCATTGAGCACTGGACAGTGAAACAGGAGGATAACACCTCAAGGAAAGCTGAAGTATAGGATTTTTATATTTCAAAAAGTTGTGTCCTCCCTAAGCTGTCTGTAAATCAATGAAATATGCCTGGACTTTCTGGCCAAGTAGCAAATACCACTTCACATTTCTGGTGGAGAAATTTTCCACATATCCTGTGTGAAGTTTTCTCATGTAAGTCTCCTTTTTGTTAACTTAGCCTGCTAGATGTAGGAAGACTGTAGTTTAATGGGAATGCACCCAGCAGCATGGCCATGCTTAGCATGGGATGTCAGTACAAACAGGAAGAAATATTTTGTTACGTAGAGAGCTCTTTCAGAGTGGCAGACAGGGAAGGGAACAATGTCAATGATCTGAGCCAAATTTCCAGAGAAAGCACTTTGGAAATTTTGGAGAATATAGTTGATCATTATAATAATGATGATTACTATTATGATTCTTACAGTGTCATATACAACCATGGGTTCAGAGGGCAACAGTCCTGATAACTGGATTAGACAAAAATAAAGTTTAATCCTAATGTCGTGGCGATTGAGATGGGCCTTTATCCATTGGCCTCTTTGACATACTGCTAATTGAGCTGGTGTCAAAGCTCTCTAGATGACTGCAAAGGAATGTGGAAATTTCATTCTGTTTTAGCTCATTGTCTCCTGTTTTCCCCACCCGACCCCACTGCCAGTTGCTAGCTATATCAATTTTTTTATTGCTTTAGTTATTCTTTCAATGCTTTCTCCTGCTTTCTGTACTTTCATTTCCTTTATAAAGTAGTTTTAACACCTAATCTATTAACTCCTAAAATTTCTGCTTTGTAGAAATACTTTTATCTCCGATGGTTGGACACAAGTCTTTGAGCACACCAAAACATGCTTACCGTTACAGTCTTGAATAGATAGGTTTGTGCATTAAACACGGGGGTGGAGGAACTTGATATGCTAATCTTGTTGCAGAGTTTTTGCCCATGAAATAGAAGATAGAAACAATTAAAATCTTTTTCTCAGAATCTAAAAATTCTCTAGCTTTATAAATTGGTAATTTGCGTTCTACCAACATGTCTACCAACTTTCTTCATTCTACCGACTTTCTTCATTTAAGGTAAAATACAAACAAAAACGGTTGTCAAAACATGAATAAATTATTTACCTTTAAAAGTTTAATTGTTTATTAGAATCTCGTGGATATATATGTTACTTTAGCTGGTTTCTTTTTCTAAGCCCATTTTAAGTCACTAAGTAGATGATATGGATAATCTTTATTAGCAGACTTGTTTACCTCATCCACATTGTTGACCACTCATCTTCTGTTTTGCTTGGGCAATGGCAAAACTGACTCTAAATTTCCTTACAATTTCAGGCACAGGATCAGAAGGAAAAAAAATAACCTTAGGTTTGCTAGTTAAACTGTATCAGTTTTTACTTTTCTGGGTGTTTCAAGGGGAAAAAAATAATACCTTACCTAGGTAAAATTTAGCCTACCTTTGTAAAGAGAACTTTGTAGGAAAAACAGGGAAACCAATCAAATTAGGTTGTAAGAAAGGAAGTTAAGCATTGGTCAGAGGCAAATGGGACTGAAATGTGGTATCACCAAATGTTTTCCCATTGTTCTTTTTGATTTTATTTTTATCCTGCAACTGCTTAAGAGCAGTCAGTCCCTTCATAGTGTATCTGTACAGTTGGATAAGGGAGATAATTACTTCAAGATAGATTGGTGATTGACAATGGACCCTGGACATAGCTCTTTGACCAATGGATTTTGAACAAATGTAGGATAGTGAATTAATGATTAGAGATAAGTCTTATTTTAATGAGAAGTAGATTTTAAAGCTATTTTATTTAAAATAGTCAATTTTCCCATTAACAAAGTAATTTCAAATTGATAAGTAGAGAAATAATAGTTGGCACATAATAATAGACTATTCCTATCTGACTCTGCTTTTACTTCAGAAAATAACATCTTCAAAACTAACATATCATTTCGTCTTCGAATTCTCAAGGTTTCTTTTTAAATGTCTTAGATTTGAGAGATTATTTACTTTTTTTTTTTTTTGGTTTCTGCATTTCTCTTTTTTCTACTGCAATTTCCCACCTTTTGTGCAATTGTGAACAAGGTAACGAAACGCCTCCCTTCCTCAGGAATATCTACTATCTTCATGCTTTCTCAAACTTCCAGCAATCACAGTTTCTCTTGGAGTGAATAAGGTGATTTCCTTTCTTAATGTACCAACTTGCTTGCATTCTCATTTGCCTGACACCATTTTCTGATTCTTTATGAAAAATTACTTCTCATGACTCATTTTATATCTTCTATTGATACTTAGAGTATTTGGTCATTTTCTTTTAATCATTTGTTCACCTTCCAAATTGTCACACTGAAGAGGAAGTAATTTTTAAAAGCTTGAACCATGGGTCTATAGCCTTCATTGATCCACGATATGCAGTAGCCATGGCGTGTTAGAGCTAGTCTGTTCACCAGGACAAGAGTGTTTTGCACAAATATCTCTTTGTTTGATATACTCACAGCACCAGCACAACTCTCAGAGGTGTTCACCAAAAGGATGGTAAGGTTTACTAATCAAACCATATTGATTCATCTTACCATATTACTTACCAGTGCCATTCCAGAAACCTGTTTGCCACATACTACTGTTGTCTATTACTTCTACCACAAAAACAATTCGAGTTGGAGACTTTCATAGGCTTTTGAGTGTATTTATTTGAATGTTATACATTTACTATATAGTGTAATCATTTGTACTTTTGGCCAGAATAGTAGTCTATAGGAAATGAATGTTTCTTTTTTCTTTTACCTTTTTTCTTTTAATTGCCAGGTAGGTTAATCAATTTTCAAATGAGTTAAGTATCTTTGCCTCACTATTACAGAGTAATCTGAGCTGTAGAAGGGCATCTGACTCATTATCCGCCAGACCTTCAGTCAGACCTCTTCTTTTACGAACATTCTCAGATGAATCTAATGTACTGTAACAGGTACCTAGTGTTAAACAAATGGGCTGGCTTTAAAAAAAACAGATTAACAGCATTATAAAGAAAGAAATGAAAATATCACTCTCTAAATTTCTCTGCTGTTGGTGTGGTGAACTTTACAGTATTCTTTGCAAAAATATAAAGATGCATTACTTGGAATATGGGGAAATACGCATTTTTAATTTGCTAAGCCCGTCAAAATAAAATGTTAAATATTTTTTAGAGCCAAATGTTGATATAACTTATTTAATTTGTAAGGGGAAAGTAGTCATGGCAGGACCATCTTGTGAAAATGTTTGTTAATATTGATCAGGAAATATAACTTTGATTTATAAAGATCATTTGGAAAATTAAAAATAAATATTCCAAAATTGCATCTGTATAACATCAAGTCAATTTAGCATTGCATGTTCTCTTGGGAATTATGTGAAAATAACTAAATGTGTTTGTACCTTCATGTGCTGTGTCTGTGTGTTTGCAGGTACTGTATATACTTACGTCCTTGTAAATGTCTGGTCCCCTAATAGATAGCAATGAACCAGCCTAATCATAACTTTTCTAATGTCAAGTTTTATTCAAGCTAAATGTTTCAACTTTCAGAGGTAAAATCTTTTGTAGCCATTCAGGGGGATACTTGCCTAATAATATAAAATGCTTTATAATTAGTATTTCAAAAAATGATTAAATTCACTTTATAATATATTGTTTCACTTACCCCCAAAAAGTATTTGGGAGGAATTGATTTACTGTGGCAGGGACCCTTGAACTCAAAATGACTCCTTATGTGTAGTCTGTATTTCCTTCAGTGGGGACCTTTAACAACCCATACCTCTGGAGGTCTTTTATCCATCCATAGAAATTTAGAGTAATTCATGAATGAGGCTTCCAAGCTTGTCAGCTTGGAAACAATTCTACACAGCTTAGAGCGGGGACATCTTTCATGCACGCATAAAAATTAATGATCATCATGAATAAAACTGGGTTAGTTCACTTTGAAGCTAATAATTGTGAGTCCACCTCATAGGCCCATATTTTTTCATTAGCTGTCAACTCCACCACCTTCTGGCAAATAATATGTTAAACTAATGAATTGAATCCATTGGTTCTCCTGTCTCCTGGAGTTCATCACAGTCTGCATCTGCACTGTTATTTTAGAGGTAGGCTCATTTTGCCACAGTTAGCATCTTTTTACCCATTTTTGAACAACTTACCTGCATATGTTTTCCCATAGTAGTGAATCTGCTTCACAAGTAGCCTTCAAAGTCTTTGACCCCTTTGTCCCAGATTGCTTTGCTCTAAGCTGTGTGATGCATTTTAGCTATATTGTTTCTGGTTAATTTTGTATCCTCCTGGATTGCTCTCTTTAGCTTGGTCTGTGGTTTGGGGGACTGGGCTGGATAGAAGACACTGCTATTGCTTTTGGCCTCTCCAGGTCCTTATCTCCTACAATGTCTACCATAGAACTGAGGAAGTATTTTTTAAAAACAATTGTCTTATTTTTAATGTAGTTATTTCTTCCAGAAATAGATTTTCATGTGGCATTATTTCTCCTCCAGGGACAATAATTAGCAGTTAGTTTAGGCATCTAGTATGTTCCATGGTTGGTAAGAAAACTACCTAAGTCCTCAATGTGAGTTACATTCTCAATATGAATGGGCAACCTTATTTTGGTTAGAGTCACCATGACCCCCTGCAGAGCTACCTGAAAACCTACTAGTGGTTCTAGAGAATGTGGAACATAAATAGAAATAGAAGGTATTCTAATGAACTTCTAGTCCAACCATGGCAAAGGAGATGTCCCAGAATGGGAAGAAAATAGCATACTACTTAAGACCTTCCCACTACTTAGGTTCAAAAAGACTGAGTTTTAGGGTGGAGAATCAGTTAGGCTCCCTGTTTTGACATACGACTTCCATTTCTTATCATACTTGACTTACACTTGTTGATCAGTTTGTCTGTCGTGCACCGTCCTGATAATAGCATTTGATGATGTTTAGAGTACAGAGAAGAATCTACAGACTTGTTAGGGAAATACCCATGGTTTCTCTTCCAAAAAGATGAAGCATAAGAAAAATCGGAAGAATCAGTTGACTCATACATACGTGATCTACCAAAAGGAAAATTAACTTCCATATTTTAGGGGGGCAACGTGCTTCTTTCAGTAAAAAAGAAGAATATTTTCACAATAATCTTCCAAAGCTGAATATATCTTTAGACTTCCTCTATCACAATTAACACATCAAGAAAAAACAGTAATCGTTCATTAAACATTTCCTGAGCATCTGCTGTGTGGTGGAAACTGTATACTAGGTGCTGGAGATAGAAGATAAATAAAACGTTCCTGTTTACAAGGACCTCCCAGCCTAGAGGAGAAGGGATCATAGCAAGGTAAACTGCTGCTATGGTAGATAATCCTAGAGGTAGAAAGTATTAGGAGAACCCTGGAACGATCCAAAAGCAAAAAGCAAGCCTGAATCTATTCAGCTGATGAAGAAAGGATTAAAATCTGGTTATAGTGTCACTCTTTTTTTCCTCTGCATGTGAATAAAACTTGGCACTTTGTTAAGACAGTTGCTTTACTCTCCTAACAAAATTTACTACTTGATTTACTTCTGAAAATGCTAAACAGACAGCTTCACATTGTTATTAAAATAAACCTTTTAAATCTCTATATTTTACATTTTTCAGAATCTGAATCTTGAACTGCCTATGTTATTGTCCTACAAGCATACTGACAGTGGTTACAGCTAAAACAGAAAGTATGAAGAAACAACTACAAAAAGTTACCTTCTCAGGATACTCCATATGCAACACACTAAACCACTCTCATGTCTAGAGTTCACAATAAATGTTCATTAAATACCAAATGATTCTCTTAAGCATTTATAATTATTGTAAGCAGCCTTTATGGCCAAAGCTGTAAGTTAAGAATTATATGAAAGTTGAAAGCAAGAATACTTAGAATTCTGGCTTTAGGCAGAATAATATAACTATCAAATGGGTGCTCTTTTAACCCATGAATTTTGTGAATGGATTTAAATACAATATTATAAAGTAGAAGTTATGCAATGAGAATGAATAGATTTTGCTAATACTGCTTTTTTTGCCTGACAGAAGAAATAGACTATTTGGACCACATTTCTTGTTCCTCCTGAATGATCATCTTATTTTTTTTCAAAAGTACATAAGGAATACTTGAAAATACAGAAGGACTAAATAGTATCAATGCATCAGACAGAATAGTTAATCCCTTCTGTTTACCCACATGCTACTTATGTCTTGGTAGAATATTCTTGCCAAAAAATACCTTGAACACTTATGTGGAAAGTGTTAATTTATACGTATTTTTGTGGGAATAGTAAAAAAGTTTTTTTTTTGTTGTTCTTCTGAATTATACCCCACTTATGGGTGTAAGGCTACTAGACTTGAAAATAAAGTATAAAACATTTCCAGTCACTTAGTAGCTCCTCAAAGTAGGAAATAAACAGATTTTTCCAGTGTCGATTTTACTGGGATCTGCAGTAAGATGGTTTAAACCATAGTTATATAAAAATAAAGGTAATTCTGAACATCAGCCTTTTATAATTTGATGTGAAAAGGAAGAAGAATCGCTTATTTTAAACTGTTGACGGTTTTTATTTGAAAGAGACAGCATTTATGCATATATGCAGTGCTTTTTCTTAAACTTTACCAATTTGGAAAGGGGAAAGGATCCATCCCAAAAGGTGGTTCAGCTTATAGAGCCATGACTGTGAAAAATGAATGTTGTCTTTTAGTTAACTTGAACAGGGCAATGGTCTAACTCTAAACCATGAGATTGACCTTGGTAAAGTCCTTGACTAGCTGAACTAGAAGGAAGGTGTAGCCTTCTAATTAGTTCACTTGAAACATAAATGTGAAATGTCTTCATTTAATGTTAAACACACAGTTTTTTAAGATATAAATGACCATATTTATTTGACTACTAGTTTTTTTGGGATCTTTCTGGCATGCTTGTACTATTAATGTTTATATTGTACCTTGATTTGGAAAAGTATTGGAGTTAAGATGTATTATATTTAATATAGTCCATGTGGCACATTTGATTCTTCCACATATATTTTGTGTTAATGTTTAGATATGATTTCTTTCTAAATTCTAGAAAAGAACAAAATTTCAGTTAACAGAAACCATTTCATCATTATGGACCCTTTTTCATTATTTCATTTGTTCTCATTTATCAGTATTATTTTTGAGCATTTTGTTACATGTCATTCACAACTTACCTAAGTGCGCTGTGTTCTGGTAGCTCGTATTTGAGGTAAGCTGCTGAAAACAAAGTCTCTATATTCTTTGCCTATTCCAAAGAGTTAAAAAGTCTACCCAGGAAAGCTTTTGATATTTTGTGTTTGTGCTCTTGTCTTATGGTTGTTGTTACTGTATTATTATTGTTGTTGTTTTACATAAAATCTATGGGAACTGTGAATACAGACGAGAGCCACAGTAGAGAGGCTTGTTTAATGCAGTACCATTAGAGGGTTCACAGGATAATCTAGTAGAAAAATAACTAGTTACATGTAAAATTCCTTCCAGCCAGAGAGAAAGACTAAAAGTAAGGGGGATTTAGAGTTATATGTCAGCTATGCATTACATTGTAACACTGCAGTTCAAATTCAGAATGGCAATGATATATGATATCATGGCCTAGATCCTTGAGAGGGACCTGGCTTTCCTTTTTAAAAGATATTTTATTGAAGAGCAAAAAAACGGCTAGTGTGGGGTTAGCAGATTGAATAACTGAAACAAACTGTGCAGTATTCCTAGCACTACAATGTAATCACCCTATTTGTAATAGAGAAAGGAGAAAAAATGTAATAATAGGATCATATACCTATAATTTGAATAATTTTGAGCTATCAAAATGTCTTTGTAATTTTCACAACTGTTGTTCATTGTTTGACAGTGTTACCTACTAAACTGAAAACATTCATTCCATATCTACTACATATACACCAGCAACAGTAAAAATGTAAGCCTAACTTTGCAAAATTCATAATAATTTAGTGATGGAATTTTTTAATAACATGCAGTACATAAATGTGCAGATTTTATGCGTGTTGACAAAATCATTTTTCAGCTTGCAAAATGGGACTGCAATATTACATTTTTCACTTAAGCAATTTTTTACATCTGTGTTGTTGCTTTCTAAAATGAATGTGAATGCCATCTTTTATGACTGCAACTTGCCTTTTCCATTACAGAAATTTTTGTTTGATGTAATCAATAAACTTTGGTATGATATGATTGATATTTCAGCCTCTTTTTTGGAAAGGTCTCAGTTTGTTGTTAATATAGAAGCAATTTGGTGATGGGAGAGAAGTTTCTAGTTTCTTCTTCAGCTGGTATTTTATGGCAATACCTAATTGGGGAGGGTAAGATACATGTTAGGAGTTTTTAATGAGACTGTATCTTGTTACTGTATATATAAAAGTCCAGCCAAATCAGCAAGTACATATTGAAAGTCTTGGCAGTGTGCTTGATGCCACCCATACATTGAAGGTAGTCTATGTATGGTCTGTGTGGTCTGTTTCTTCAACCCATCGAACCCATTTGATTCTTAAGTAATCAAACATGAAGGGATTTTGCAGTAGCTTGAAACTTGTTCCAAAGATGTGTACGTACATACCACTTCCCTACACCTCTTCTTACATTGCTCAGCCTGCACCCAAGACCTAGTGAAAGTCCTTTTTCTTGAAAAACTCCAGTCCTTGACTGCCAAGAAATGAAAGTTGCTCCACTGAAACTGGTCTCATTGCATTTCTACATTTCAGTCTCTATATTTTGGTAGTTTTGTAGTCCTGTTGGTCTTTGATCTTTATTTAGTGTGTATTTTCTTCTTTTTCATTAAGTGGAAAATGTGCTGTATTCAGAAGTGAAACATGAATTTAAGTATCAGCTTTGCCACATTTCTCTCTGAATCCCTTTTCTTCTCACCTATAAGACGGTGTGTGACAGGGAGAATAAGGAAAAGAATCAAAATTGCTTTGTAAAATGTGACTTGCTATTCATATGTAGGCGTTGTTATTTTGATATTAAGGGTATTAATTTTTTAATGAATAGTTGTCATTTACACATTTTTACAGATGTCTTGCGTGATTTTTGGCTTATTGAAATTAGTTTAAGCTTCCTTCCCTTCCCCTATCCAGCCTTAATGGGGAGCTCCCTCTTACCCTTACTGCTTAGTCTGCCCACAGTTGCCCGATACAGTGAGTATTGTGATGATCTGAGTGGTTTGGCCCCTTCGGCAAGAAGCACAGGCAGAGGTTAAGGGCTGACGTTATCACTATGGTTATTCAGTGAAGTGTCTATGGGCGAAGTGCTGGCTGCATACTAATGAAGCCTGAAGGCCTGCATTCTGAAAATGTTTGTCGGGGGGAGAAAATGGGCTTAATTATTTTGTAACTTTTAAAAAATTAGACACACTTTTAGCAACAACTGATGGGCAAGGAGACATGGGCTCAGTTCCTAGTGCATAGACCTGTTGTGCTAAAGAAATGTTGCAGCGTGGATCAAGCAAGTCCTCATCACATGGGCCTTGGAAGTGCGTGCTCAGACCTGTGGCTGAGAGGAGCAGTGCACTCATGGTAGGCCAGAATTCCTGCTGGCATTGAGTCTTTGGCCTTGGCTGTTTGGGCAGGGTTGATATACATAACTAAAATACCTGTTGCTGCTTTGGTCTCTTCATCAGTTGCCAAAACCCAACTCCTCACATTAGCTAACACTCACATAGCATTTAATATGTGGCAGGAACTATTCTAAGCACTTCATACATATTCATTCCTTTAGTAATTCCAATAACCCTAAGAGATAGTTACTGATGTTTCTTTATCTGACAGATGAGGACACTGAGTCCCAAAACTACTCAAGGTTACACGGTCTGGTGGAGCCAGAGTTTGAACCCAGGTATTCCGATTAGACTCTGTGAACTCAATTAGGATACTATATTTCCATTCTTATACCACCCCTATGGCATGAATAAACAAATCATAAAAATGTTAGTATTAACCTTGAGAAAACAACCAAACCAAAACTGAGGGATATCCTGCACAATAACTGGCTTCAAAATTACGAAGATCATGAAAGAGCAAGACTGAGTAACTCTTCCAGATAAAGGAAACAACTAAAACTGTATTGTGAAAACTAACTGTGGCATCTGATCTTGGCCCAGAAATTGAACGTCAGTGAGATAATTAGTGAAGTTTGATTACAGTATTTAGTTTATAAAATATATAGGCAATATATCAATGTTTTCTGATAATTTGAAATTATGTGGTAATTACATATGATATATTTTGGAGAGTCCAAGTGGGGAGTATATGAGAATTCTTTGCACTATTTTTGCAACTTTGACGTGATTTCACAATTTTAAGTTAAAAAAGCTGAAACAATGAAGCTTAAAAGTATTAATGGGAAAAAAGCGTTAAATTAAGCTGTTATAGAAGACTAATTAGCTAACATCTGCACAGCACTTTATGGAATGCTTTTGTATGTACTTTCTTTAATTTCACAATCGTCCTATGTAGAGATGATTGAACTCCAGATACTTAACAGATTAACTGAGGTTCAGATAAGTTAATTATCATGCTGATCTCTCAGGACTGAACTCAGGTATGACCCATGTGTTTCCTGCTATACTACACTTTGCAGTTTGTCTAGGACTCTTAAAGCATTCCCTGTTAGATTCTGGAATGATCAAAAGGCAAGCGTTATTGCAGTCATTTTTGTGTGGGCCCATCAGATGCAGTCAGATACAACCATAGATAGAACCATGGAAAGGAGTCGTGTCATTGCTCTTAGGGTTGAAGTGAGTGGCCTGAGAATGGCCCAGGCCTACGTTTTCCTTTTCCCTTGTTCATCTAGTCTGATGCTGCTGCACTGGACCTCAGCACCAATACTTATTCAGGTATTTTCCAAGGCGAGTTTCCTACCGCTGCTTGCCACCCTTGGAGTGAGAATACAAGAACACTTCTTTAACTTTAATAATGAAATTAATACAAGGAATTGATTACACAGGTAGTATAGCTGAACAGCCAATTGGGGATTCTGTGAAGCGGCCCAGAGATTATAAAGAGGCAGAGGCCAGAACCATCCTTAGGTTGTGGGGGCAATAGGAGCAAATGGACTTCTGGAGCCTATGGCCCGGTCATTTGGCAGAAGTCGGAGTCATTGTGGGCCTATCTGGAGTGGCTGGCGCCACAGCAGAGCCACAGCCACTATTGGAGATGCAGCCTGAGGTAGAAATGCCCTGGCTTCTGTCCCCCAGCCTTCAGTCTGCTTTCCATTGTTTGGATGCCGCTAACATGGGGGCCTGAGAAACAAACAATACAAAATAGAGCAACGAAGTGCAAGGAATGTATCTGAGGGTAAAGAGGCTGAGAACTAGCACATCAAGGATTTAAGGAGTCAGATTCGGATTTAATACTCTGTGAGGTGAAACTTTAATGGGCTAGATTTCAGCACCTTTATAAATGTCATTTATATATCCCATATGAAGAAAATAAATGTGGTAAAACAAATTTGAAGTCACTCCTGTAACATATTTAGTGCAAAACTGATGACAAATTTTAATGGATGCTTGGATTAATGGAAATAGAAGGTCCTTGTATAATTGAATCTTCTTAATTAGTAATAAAGCCACTTAGTATTTCAAAAAGATCTAAATAAAGGAGTTAGCATATCATTTCATAGATACATGAAATTTGCCTACATCATACTCAAAATTCAAAAATAATTCAGGGTCTGGATAAAAAGCTGCAATATTAATTGCAAAGGAAATGACTTTCCTTCTCTTCATTCTTCTGCCTCCACTCATGAACAAGGAAAGCAAGTGGCATGGTGCAGTCCAAATCCAAAGGCCTCAGAACTAGGGAAGCCAATGGTATAACTCTCAGTCTGAAGCCATAAGCCTACAAACCTGGTGAGCCATTGGTGCTAGTCTTAGAGTCCAAAGACCAGAAAACCTAGAGTTCTGATGTCCAAGAACAGCAGATGAAGGGTGTTCCAACTCCAGGAGAAATAAAGTGAAGTCTTTCCTCTGTCTTTTTGTTCTGAGCCCTGAGCAGATTGGATGATGCCCACCCACATTGGATAAGGGTAGATCTTCCTTACTCAGGTACACTGGTTCTAATGCCAGTGTCTTCTAGAAGCACGCTCCCCGTACTCAGAAATAATGCTTTACCAGTTACCTGCAGTGTGGAAAGACTTAGATCATGCATGTTGAAACAGCACAGGCCAGGCGCAGTGGCTTACGCCTGTAATCCCAGCACTTTGGGAGGCTGAGACAGGCAGATCAACTGAGTTTGAAACCAGCCTGGCCAACACGGTGAAATGCCATCTCTACTAAATACACAAAAATCAGCTGGGCGTGGTGGCGGGCACCTGTAATCCCAGCTACTCAGGAGGCTGAGGCAGGAGAATTGCTTGAACCCAGGAGGTGGAGGTTGTAGTGAGCTGAGATTGAGCCACTGCACTCTAGACTGGATGACAAGAGCAAAACTCCATCTCAAAAAACAAAACACCTAGCACAGATTTTAGCTTTAGCATATGCTAGACACTCAGAAATTGTAAAACATCTTAACAGTTTTATTAAACCGTAAAATAGGAAACAACCAAAAGTAAAAAAACAGTGCTTTCCTAAAGCATCCAACTTAACCCTCTAATTATACGTGGAAGAAAACTGAGGTCCAAAGAAGGGGCGATGCTATGTCCAGAGTCACATAACCAATTAACTACAGAGGCAGGACCAGATGTTGTGTCCCTGAAATTAGGAAACAGTACTTTTCCCCTTTTCAAATACTTGCAATGTTCTGAATTTCTATAATCAGCCATCAGGTTTTTCTTCTGTTTTACTTTCCACTGGCTAAGCCCAATTTTGCCTCCTGAAGCAACACAAAACAAGATTACTTCCTCTTTGACAAGACAGCTTTTCACATATTCCAAGATTACCCTCATGTTCATTGATTTCTATTCCAAGATCCCCATCTCCAGTGCTACCAACTCATTGTTTTGTATGGCAAGCTTTCCAGAACCAACATGGTCCCAGTCACCTGTCTCTGGCTAGGCTTGCATTCATCAATGTCTCTCTTAACAGGTAGCACTTAGAGCAGAGTACAATATTGCAGCTATATGGCAGAATTATAAGCTTCCTCAATCTATTAACTCTGTTTCTGTTGTGGCAGCCAAAGACTGCATTTGCTTTCTTTTTGTTGTTGTTTTGAGACAGGGTCTTGCTCTGTCACCTAGGCTGCAG